TGTCATTAATAAATGTGTTCACAATACCTTTGTGTCAAATCCTACACTAAAAATGCTGGATTCATTTATACAAATTTAAAGTCTTTCTCTGTCCAACAGGGGCAAAAGGGAGAATCTGTTCTTCACAGGTTAGTTGCAGCTCACGTCCAACAACACTACTGCAAAATGTATCAGATTTTTATCCAACCCATTCTCCCGTTCTCCAAACCCAATCCCTCACCTTTAAATTAGAACATCAGGTCCTGGCTGACCCAAGTGTTCCTATGTCCAGTCCCACTCAACGCGGTGACGGTAACTTCCTGAAGTTTAAAACATCTAATACAGGTAAAGGAACATGGACACTTTTATGAACTTCGCCAAAAAAGTGTATTTGCTAATATTACAATGCTTATTTTGATGAAGTATACTGTACAAGATTTAGAAACACCACTCAAGATGAAGTAGTAAAGGTGTCAAACTCAAGGTTGACCAGTGAAAGCAAATTATGTCTCTTGCTTCAACAGCAAAATTGCTAACTATTATTCACTTTTAAAAACATTGCACTATTGCAAGCAATTTTTGTCATCACCCCCTTTTCAAAATAATGTAAACTAATAACATTACTGGCTAGAATGTTATTAGCTAGTTATTCATCATTTTGTTTTGTATCTGTAATATGAGGTGAGGTTAATGAGTTCACAGTCATCACGGCCTCAGGAAGACAACTATAACTACGATATGGCCTGTGAGAGAATGGCCTGTTCTACACCATTGCAAACTGCAACCTCAATAAGAAACATTTCCAAAGGTTATGTTTCCCTGAAACTGGCAATAAAAATGGACTACGAGCCGTGTGGAGTTTGAATGTTCCCCTCCTCACTTTGTCTGGGTTTTTCCTAATGAGAATAATATGCTATTGACAAATAGATAGTTGGGCATTTATTTGATCATTGTAAGGTATTTTTACACCAATAGAAAGGCCTTCAGAGAACTTCCTGAAAAAAGTTCCCTACCCCCATCTTATCTTGTAAAACCTCAGGTACTGCACCAAGCGACTTTGAGCTCATGTCTTCCATGATGCAGAGACTGACCGTACTTGAGAGGAAGGTCACAAGCCAAAAAGAGGAGATGGCGCGCAAGGTGAACGCTCTCGCTTGTTATGATGAATAGAAACCCTCACTCACAACACATCTCTTTATTCTTTGGAAGGACAACGTTATTTTGGTTTTGAGGGAGAAACTGAGAATTCAGGAAGACTCAGGTAATCACTCAAAAGGTTATGAAATGATTCTCGTGCACTGGCTGAATTTGTGGATGATATGTCATTGTAGAGCGTGGCCATGTTGAGAGTTGCAGTCATCTTGAAAGAAAGTGTGAACAGCTACAGCACCAAGTGGATGACATGGAGGTGCGTTTGATCAAAACCTTTCCTTGTGATTCATTCAATAATTTGTCATTTACTGTTTTCAGAGCTTCCTGAATGACTATGGTTTGATCTGGGTTGGAGACAGGAAGTTCACTAATGCAGTACAGCAGACAAACATCTCAGTCACAGGTATGAACCATCTACTTTTGAACTAAAGGGGCTACTAACAAGTGGGGGATACTACCTTCTTGCAGACACCTCTGTGGTCCGGAATTTCCATATGGACTTTGACCTTGTGATACAGACGATTAAGGAGCTGAACATTCTCGCAGGGGAATCATTCGTACGATCCACACCCACAGGGGCGCAGTTGGCACGAAATGATCCTGTGGAACTGAAGCTCTACAGCAATGGCATTGTCATGTTCAACGGACCCTTCCGTTCCTACCGGGAGAACAGCACCCAGGTTAGCTTGTTAAAACAAGATAGTGCTATAATACTTGACATTGGTCCTTGTCTAGAGCAATGTTTCATAACCTTTATTGGGCCAAGAGGGTATTTTCGGAGGGTATGTCACAATAGGTATATAACCATCTTGTCTCAATTTACTCACAAATGTACAGTACTTTCTATTTGTGAAATCTGGGCCTGATTAATTGAACAAAAAGGAAGTCATGACTTCATCTGTTGTATGAATGGCAACAGGTAAATAAACCGTTTAATTGTATTTTCTGCCTCCGGCATCTCCGCTACCCTCATGAGGATAAGGGGATCAGATCATGGATGTATGGATAGATGTACCTTTTGCTTTCTAGTGGAAGAGCATTTCATTGTTGTGCCTGTCACTTTAGGTCCTCGACATAGATCGAGTATTGATTGCGGCCCCATCAGAACCAGCTAATCACTTTACATCTCTGAAAACAAAAATCACTTTTGGATTTAGGATGTTTGGTTCTCCTTGCAGCAATGCATGCAGGATCTGATGGAGGGGTATTTCCCATCTGAGCTTCAAGGCAGGTTCCCAGATGGTGTGCCTTTTGAGGTGTGTTGTCATCACTCCAGGTCACTCCACATGAACACATAAATTCAACCCTCCTCTATGTTTTGTCTCACAAGGTCCATGACAGACGAGATGAGGAATTCGTTCTCAAAGAACCATGCATTAAGTTTCCTGGCAGAGGACTGATTATGCGAGAGAAAAAAGAGGACTTGTCAGTCAGAGTCAGCTCGCAGTTTCGCGGTTGGTTCCTGCACTCATTTTATGTCACTTTGTTTCAAAGTCCTTTAATAAATCAATCATGTGTTTGCTTGGTTCGCAGCTAAGACATTAAGCACAAACCAATTCCTGAACAGGCTGCCAAAAGTGGTGGTGAAGGCGGGTCGAGTGATTGACATCAGGGACTCTGCGCGGACAGCCTTACAGGTTTGAACAACCTCATTCCAAGAAAATGGCTTTTGCACAAGGGATCACTCCTGTGATTGTGCTGATCATGCAAAAGTTCCTTATTTCGGCTCATCCTTTCCTTAGGCCTCGCCTGACGCACACAACAGCTGCTCAGCGATCATTGTCGAGACACCAGCACTCCTAGCAATGAAGGACAGGTACTCAGAAGATTACCATTTATGGCTACCACTTTAGACAAACCTGCAATTTAATGCAATCTTGTACAAAAGTCTTGTTAAAAAAAAACAACAAAAAAACAAAGTGTCCTTACAAAGGTAGAACGGCATAGTCTTCTACCTTGGTAGAAAATTAAATGTCTATAATATAATGTCAAATGGTGCCTTGAGATACAAGTGACCCAATCGTGGAGTTTTTGGAGACTCAAGTTTGGCTGATTTATTTTTCCTAGACTTGCTTGCATTTTTTTTAATAGGAGTGCTTCTTGGTGGCAGGGAATTCAACTAAACTCACTTCACTACAAGCAGCAGCTTGGCATATCGTGAACAATTCTTCAAAAAATAAGATTCAAGCGATTTATTGCCACTCCGAGCTGAAGTTTACTGCCAAACAAAACACAAAGCAATAGTTACATATTGTGTATTTCAAAAAACCACACGTAATTTTTGGCTCACAGAATATACAGTGTTTAGGTATGTGCCACATTTTTAAATGCCTTATGTGCATTTTCAACAGTAGGAACCAGTTATTACTAATCACAGTTGTACAAAGTGTGCAATTATTGTACGTCACATCTTGTCACTTTTTCAAGCATGCACACAATCACCTCTGACCTGCCTTCGTCCGCACGCAACATCATCACACTTAAAGTCAAATCAGAGGATGGCGATCACACTTACGTGCTGAAAATGTGCCTCTCCGAGACCGTGGGTCACCTGAGGCAGCACCTAGACACACATAGGTGAGCTTACATCTTTATGTACTTATGTTGGGATCATCATACCAGCTCATGTTTGCCGCTATTGATTCCTTTACAGGGGGCATAACCTCGCTGGCTATGACATTATCAGTGCATACCCTCAGTGTCACTACCAGGATGACTGCCAAACGCTTGGGTCATGTGGACTTACGACCAATGTGACTCTTCTTCTGCGAGGAAGGAAAAACATAAATAAATCCTCCATCTAAATAAGACCAATATTATAAGCATGACAGTTGTGGGTTCAATTCCTACTCAGTGCCTGTGTGAATGTGAGTTTGAATGGTTGTCGATGATGGGATAGATTCAAGCTTCCTGGTACCATGAATGGGATAAGTGGCCAAAAAGATCTTTACAGGATGCCAAGGAATGGTTTTGGCACTAAACTTGCAGTGATAGCTTAAGTTGAAAATACTCTAATTTTTTCTTCCAAAATGTGTTTGTTTCCCAAAAATTAAAAGGTATATTCTGAATGAGCACAGGGAATATCGTCATGTTTGTATTCTATTTTCCACATGGTCGGTCACATACCATAATAAATTGCCAAAGTCAATTTTCAATATTTTTCAGAAAAAAGCCACAATTTTAAGATTGCACATTGGTAATTTTGTATTGCTGTAACAAAAACATCAACCAGATGGTTGAACAAGTAAGCGGAAAGCAAAAGACCCAATTAAAAAAATACAGTGTTGTAGTGGCTTTCTTCGAGTTCTACAATTTCCACAGTGTTTTCAAAACATTTATTATCTCAAGAGACCTGAAATAACTCAATTTCAATTAAAAATTGTTCATATCAAGGAGTTGATTTCATATTTTTTTTACTTCTGGATGCAAAACATTCCCAACGAAATAAAAAAGGAACAATAGTTTACATTTTAATCTTTTGATTCAAAGAGTGATGATTTTTTTTCAGCATCAAACGTAAACTTGTATTTTCTTTTTCACAATAGGTCGTTCTCAAGTTCTTTTCAAAATGGGGCACTATTGGGCAGTCAAAAAAATAAATAAGTCACATTTTCAGGATCAGTTTTACAAAAAGCGCACTTATACATATTATCAAGAAATCATGAAACGTGTTAGCGGCGTATATCTTGTGTCGTATTTTTGCATGTAATATGATTTTTTTTGTAAACAATACTTTTTAAAAGCAACAAGCCGCGCCTTCAATCAGTATTATTTCTTTATGAATTGAACGTTTCATAAAAAAAATTCCAACGTGGATTTATTTTCGTGTGTTGTCCAATGTGCTCATCCATACTGCCACTGACGTACACAGGGTCCCGTCTCATTGGCTCAAAAACCCGGAAGTTATTAAAACGGCCCGACCGTTGTTCTCCTTCAGGATTGATTGTAACCGGTTTTGACCAACTAGCCACAGAGGAGTTGGTCCGTCTGCCACTAGTTGGGAAATAAAGATTACACTTTGAACATTTGGAAGAGACTTTGTTTTCTCGAGAACCATGGACGAGGTGACAGGAGCTCAGCTCATTGCTGAGTCTCTTATAAATCAGGTCAGTTGAAAGCAAAAACAATTTGGGTACCTACCGTCACACAGATAGTTTAACAACTGTGAACTGCCCTCTCAAACTCTGAAAAATTAAATAGAAAGTTTGTTAATTTGTAACTCGATCAATGTTTGTTTAAAGCACTTTTTTTTCTATGCGTCTCAAAGTTCACTAAACGATAAGGCTGTGAGTTCGTGGAGACATTGACAATTATTTCGTCTTAAGCGAATTGAGTCGTTCCGGGCTCATTGTATTAACCAAGCATTCTAAATAAGAACTCATGTAAAGCGAATTGAGTCGTTCCGGGCTCATTGTATTAACAAGCATTAACTCTACTGGGATTTTTAAAAACGAACATTTAGACGTTATCAGTTTACACACACACACACACACACACACACACACACACACACACACACACACACACACACACACACACACACACACATCGAGGCCAACGAAAAAAAATTTGGAGCGGATTGTTTCTCCATTTGCAAAATAAAGACGATAAACAATTTTGGTTGAACTCCAAATTGTGCTTTTGACATTTACATAATTCATGAAAGTAGATGTCCCAAGGGAAGAAAACAATACATTCTGTGCTTGTCTATGGACCGCTGTTAAAATGTTGTACTAGTTATGACCATGCAAGTAATCTTCAGATTTCTGAAAACAGTTTTTCATAAGATGCGTATAAATGTCCCTACAGAAAGTGGAATACATGTTTGGGATTGTCGGTGTTCCTGTTATTGAAGTAGCCATGGCTGCTCAGGCTGCAGGAATCAAATACATTGGCATGCGCAATGAACAAGCGGTAAGCAGCACTCGAGATATTCTTCTCAGTTTCTATTGGTTCTTGTGTTTGATCGAATGTTCTATTCAATAGGCCTGTTATGCTGCATCCGCTGTTGGATACCTCACTGGAAGGTAAGACATTGCGATACGAATAAAAAAAGCATCTGGTGTGTCAGCTTGATTCTGGATGCTTCTCTTCCTCCAGGCCTGGTGCCTGCCTAGTGGTGTCAGGACCTGGACTCATTCATGCTCTGGGAGGAATGGCCAACTCCAACATGAACTGCTGGTATGAATTAAAAGAAAATTGTCTATCCCCCACGAATAGTGAATAGGAGCCAAACTCTGCCGCGAATTGGATTTGCGTGTTGGCAATCTCAAATAGGCGGCGGAACTGTGTACATTGTGAAGTAGTATTCTGAAATGCATTTTTGCCATCCCACATGCAGGCCGGTGGTTGTTATCGGAGGATCTTCAGATCGAAGCCAAGAGACAGCAGGGGCCTTTCAAGAATTTCCACAGGTAATAAAAAATGTTCATGAGAATTTACACAGTATATAATGGTGATTGCCTCTCCTTGAATTCTTTACTTTTTATTTAGGTGGAAGCATGTCGCCTGTATAGCAAGTTTTCTGCAAGGCCAAGCAGTCTTGAAGCCATCCCTTCTGTGATTGAGAAGGTAACACATCAACACCGTGATGGAGGTCTCCCTCCCTTTATCCGAGGCTCTTAAGTTGATATTGAACAGAGTTGAGTGGACTTTTCATTAGTTTACTAATAGCACAGAGTTCCCTCACTATTCGTGGGGGACAGAGACAGCCCTGGTGCAGTATAAAATCTGCAAGTAATTGATGCCACTCTAAAAAGGTTTACAATTGCTTACAGTCTGCAACATGTGGTCAAGCAATACTTTTTTCGAACCAAAGCTCCTCAGCTCACTTCACCATAGTTTTGGGCACCAAGATGCCACGAACTGGCACACAAAATGTCACTTGATATCAAAAAGAGCAAATAGCTGAGTTTTTCAACAAATAACACAAAATAGGTCCCTCCCCAAAAAGTCAGTGAATATGTAATTGGTGAATACGCAAATCCTGAATTGCGGATATGCTGAGGAACACTGTAATACTGATACATTACCAATTTTTGGCTATACACAGGCTGTTCGCACAAGCATATATGGGCGTCCAGGCGCTTGTTATGTGGACATTGCAGGGGATATGGTGAATGCCAAAGTGGACCGAAGCAAAGTCAGGTTTGTCGTATTGCTCTTGTCTGTTATCTGATGCAAGACACAGCATTTCGGCATTCAACTTCATGTATTCCTCCTGCAGATTTGTCCACTGTTGTCCGCCTCCTCCCATATGTCTGGCTGACCATGGTGCAGTGTTGGAGGCCATCACTGTGTTGAAATCAGCGAAAAGGCCTTTGGTCATCATTGGCAAAGGTAGCATAAACTACCAGTAACATAAACTACCTGCTTGATGTCTTAAGATGTCCTCCATTTCCTGGTTGTGGTCCACAGGTGCAGCCTATGCCCGAGCAGAATCCGTCCTTAGGGACTTTGTGGAATCGAGCCAACTACCGTTCCTGCCGACCCCCATGGGGAAGGGAGTGCTGCCTGATGATCACCCCAAATGTGTGGCAGCTGCGCGCTCACGGTAGACCACAATAATTCCTTTCAGAGCAGTAATTAGTCATTCGAATTCATAAAGTAAAATAAGTAACATGTACAAATTGTGTTTGTTCTAATGTCTGTAATTTCCCTTCAACCAAAATAATTTCTCAAGCTCAATCAACATCCCAACAGAGGGCAACGGCCGGACTGGGAGGAGCTAATAAAATAGAAAGATAACCACTCATCATGTAAAATAGTCTCTCGGAATAGAGACGTCATAGTATGTTGGGACCAGTAACAGTAAATAGAACTTTGTTACAGTTCACACAAGATCGCCATCAGTGGATATGTAATTTCATGGTCTGCGAACTGTTTATTACTGTTGCAACATTTGGTAGGGTCACAATTCGAACATGAATGGGTGGATCATCCCGCCTGGTATCAACAGTTCAGGCTGCTGGTGTTGTCTTGTTCGGGATACCCAATATGATTGGCAGAGTTTGGGTCTCTTGCTCACAAGTGAGAATGCGTTAAACACTGCAGCCTACCTGAATATACTTCCTGACCCTTTCAGTCTCTTTATGACTACAATGTACCATCTTTTATTGGCCAGGATAAGTCATCCACTGTGTGCTGCTATTGTGTTGATATGGACCAATATACATGGCACATGTATGAGCAATGTTTCCAGCACCTTAGTTGAAAATTTTCTGCGATTAAGGTATTCCTATTGTTCCTATAAAGGAAATTTCTAATAAGGGATATAGCTAATAAGATGTACAGATACTTGTATGTTTTTAAGGTACCATACATGTTATGAATTTGTTGAACACACTTATACATTCAAATTATTTACTAAATGTGAATAAACGATAGGCTTTTTTTTGTTTGTTATCATCTTCCTCTCTCAACTCAAATCAAATTGGTTGAAATGAAGAGCTCTTCTCCAGACAGACGTTGTGCTTCTTCTTGGAGCCCGACTCAATTGGATCCTCCATTTTGGTCTGCCGCCCAGATTTGACCCAAATGTCAAGATCATTCAGGTTGGTAATTACTAAAATAATGCTACATGCGTTATGTCTGTTTTTCGTATTTTTATTGTACATTACTTTGCTGCTTTTTGAAATTGTGTTGCTGGGTTCTGAGATAATCCAAATTTAATTTCAAAGTGTACAAATTTTGGATGTGATCACACCCACAAATGGCTAGGGGGGAAATTTAGGAATCTTTGCCTGCCCTGTAGTGCGATTAATGGCTCCATCGTTGGTGTTGCTGCACTGTGTTCTATATACAGGTTGACCTTTGCCCTGAGGAGATGGGAAACAATGTGAGGCCGGCTGTTGCTCTTCTGGGGGACATCAATGCGGTCGTCAATCAGGTGTGTAACGCTCACTTCAGTGATTCACTGATATCAGACGCCAAAAAGAGCAGCTTGTATGTTTTTTGTCAAATATTATGAACCTGTCTCCTTCAGCTGTCGGAGTGTCTTATGAAAGATGGCTGGAAGTACCCTTCTGACACAGAATGGTGGCGCACCCTAAGGGAGAAAATGGCCAGTAATGCAAAAATATCAAATGTGAGTCTTGCCGATTTAAAAAAAAAAAAAGTAAAAACAGGCTTGCTTTTCATCTCATAAACAAACAGAATAAAATTGTATTATTTTTATCAAATAATAATCAGAATCGAATTTTGACAAAAACTTCCTCATATCGACAAGTTTCTGTTTTTTTTTTTTTTTTTTTTTACGCTGCTGAGCTGCGAACCCAAAACCTTTGCCTGGCAGATGCACTAACCAAATGTTCAATACTTTATTTGGAGCATGTTTTACTTCACAAGGTTTTTTTCTTTCCTCTGATTCTCCACAGGCACTCGCTCTCCAGTCAGTGATACCCATGAACTATTATACAGTGTTCCACCACATCTCACAGCTGCTGCCGCATGACTGCATCATTGTCAGCGAGGGCGCTAACACGATGGACATTGGACGCACTATGTTGAATAACTACTTACCTCGACAGAGGCAAGCCATGCTTCATCCAAGGGTAGCTTTGTTGTGAAGTGCGGTGAAATGACCTTATGGACGTTAGCCGAATCAGAATTGTCTTTTTTGGCCAGATATGTTAAAACACACAAATTAAGTCACATTAGTACTATAACAAAAAAATGACACTATAACAAAATATACATTTAGGATATGCGGAATACACATACTGTACGTACAAAGTACAGAGAGTAATTGGGCAATATAAACTGTGCTTCATGACTGTATAAAGACTACAAAAATAATTTTTGAAGTTGAAAATTGATGTCATTTATATCAAGTTTTATCATCCTTAAAAAAAAAAGTGGTAATTTGAATTTGCGAGGCCATGAATGCAGCCACTAGAAAACTGTGATTTGTCTTCTCTTTTCATTCTACAGTAACGTAGTTAACAGTGCGGATCAAGTGTGAGTCCAAATTTATTTCGTCTGTTGTGGTTATTCCTGATGGCCTTCAGGTTGGATGCGGGTACATTTGGAACAATGGGAGTGGGCCCTGGTTTTGCTATAGCTGCGGCTGCTGTGGAGAGGAGTGAGAATAAGGGCCGAAGGATTGTCTGTGTGGAAGGTGACAGTGCCTTTGGCTTTTCTGGCATGGAGGTTGAAACCATGTGCAGGTAAGCAACTTAACTCTCTTTCTAATGCTATAGATTTTCTGTAGCAATCATATGCAAATCTCTTTTTTGAACAGGTATTCCCTACCTATAATCGTGATTGTTGTGAACAACAACGGTATATACAGTGGAGTGGACCCTGAGACGTGGAGGGAAATGGCTAAAATGGGGGATCTGACGCGAATGTGAGACAAAAATGATTGTCTAAATTATGTTAAATCAAATGCTATCTGCTATGATGCGTGTGTTTAAAAAAATTTAAATACTGTTCCTTGCCTGTGCACTTAAATGATCAGAGCGCCCCCTGTGACCCTCCTGCCTGAGGCTCGCTATGATCAGGTGGTGACAGCATTTGGTGGCCGTGGTTTCCTGGTGAGGACGGTAGAGGAGCTGCGTAACGCTTTGCAGCTCAGTTTGAGTGACTGGGAGAGGCCGAGTCTTCTCAACGTGCTCATCGACCCTTCCTCAGACAGAAAGCAACAGGTACACATGCTCTGACAATAGGTGAACAGATATGATATAGGCTCTTAATAGCCTACATAAATACATTATGAAGAGCTGCAAGATTTGAAGGAGATGTAACCACCTGAACACACATAAATATTTTTAATCATAGGTAGGGCAGAGTGAAGGGTAGTCTAGATTGCCATTCCACATATGTCCTCTAGGAGGAAGCATTGCACTTTCTTTGGCCCATGACAATCACTACACAAACACCTAGCATTGCTAGTTGTTACGGTGACATTTTTGACACTCCAAGTCCTTCTAGCTTGACAATTACTTTAATGTAACCATAGAGTGAATGAAGTTGCATTGGTGTGCCATGTATGAAGAGCAGCATTGGTTTGAACCAGTAATTTTCAGTCAACCAGAGGAATCCCATTTCACAGAATTTTCCAATAACTATTATTTACGTCAAATTATCTGTCTTTGTTCGTCTATCTATGCCAGCAATGTATAGTGAGAGCCAGAGCACTGAAGGCTCATCCACGAGATGGTAGAAGTGAACCTGTGTATCCACTGGTTGCCATTCATACAACAAAATCATGGATTTGTGTTCAATTAAACAGACCCGGTTTCCGCACGGAAAGTGCATTTGTGAGTAAATTGTGCAGACTCTGGTTAGTAAAAATGAACAATACAAAACAAACACAAAACCACTTACAATCAAAATTGTGACCTCTTGAGTGAAGTTGATAATTTTGGGAGTCGGGACACAACACCACACAAGGATCTGATTGGCTGCGGCCTGAAGATAAGAACAGGTTGAACAAATGGCGAAGGACCAGGAAATAACATAAACAAGAGCTGCAACTCTGAAGTTGGTTGGAATTAAAATCAACGTCATTCCATTTGGTGATTATTAAAGGCCAATAAGCAGCTCAGTGTTTATTTGACTGCAATGTGTCCCTGAGTGCTAATCCTTCCACTCCACAGGTGCACTGTGGAGCTGCTCCTTTCCACTCACAATCCCTCAACCTCACATCAACTTGACCCCTCTATTTCTGGTCCCTTATAATTAGAAAGCGAGGCCCTCTTTGTTTATGTTGAATGTATCCACGCAACCCCCTGTGCATGGTAGCATGGATACATTCAGGTGATGGAGGGTTCCATTGAGGCACGAAGCAACCCGATTGATTGACGATGGATGCCTGGCTGGCTGTCTGTTAGTCAAAATCCCAGCCAGCAGCAAATACTTACAAATGTTATCTATGATTTAGGGAAAAAAAAACTTATGTTGGGTTTTTTTTCTGTATTTCCAGGAGTTCCCTTGGCTGACCCGTTCCAACTTGTAGAAGGAAAGTGAATCTTTTTTGTAATTACAACCAGTGGAAACTTCAACACATGATTGTTTCTTAATGACTGAAGTTTTTTCTATTAATTATATTTTTTTGCAAGGGTTGGGGGGCGGGGAGGATTTTCAAGAACTGCCAGGCAACATCTGCTAACTTTTGTGTGTCAGTGTCATTTAGCTAATACATGCTCAATATATAATTTCTGCAAATATGGTTTATTTTGAATTACCAAGCTAACAGCACCACACCATCCACAAAAAGCAGAGACGTAATACCATGGCTACCAAACTGGACCCCCTCAACACCTTGCCTGCGCTGAGAAATTCTGTTCATAAAGGTTATGAACAGAATTGATGACAAAGGGCTGCTTTGGCTGAGTCCAAACCTCACTTCAATCAAATCCGTGAAGTCACAAATGAATCAAGCACAACTTTCAACCTACATTTTCTCAAATTTTATAATCATTCTCAAATTCTTTGAATATTTTCCCTAGTTACTGGTTCATAAAGCATGAACATTTTTTTTAAATGTTGGGAATCGCAACTGTGCTTAATTTAGGATAGCTATGTCACAAACCTTACATTGGATAGGGAGCATTTGTTAAGCCTTGTATGTAATAACATATGCCCATATTTTGACAATTCTAATGCATTACCTTGTCTAAACCTCTGCCCTTCAGCTGTACTGATAAAGGTGGTGCCTTATGCTCACAGAAAAAAAGGTTATTTAAAGATGCAAAACAATGTGTATGTGTGGGCGTTTTGTTCACTACATTATTGTGATGTAAAATGAGTTATTACAAATCTACATTTCCTTCACTTGTATTGAAATATCTTTTATGTTTTGTGATTATTTCTTTCCACACATACTCTCTAGTAAACTACAGCAACCGTAGAATTGTTTTAAGAGAGAATGCATTATCAGATTTATTTAGGGCTCAGACATTCCCCTAAAAAGCACCAGTGGAAAAGCAAACAAGAAAAAAAAAACATAGCAATCAAAACCCATCAAGTGTGAAAGTACGTGCTAATGCACGTAAGATCTTGTCTGAATACAAACAGTGGGCGAGTCAGTGTTCGGTCCCCCCCTTGTGAGGGGAGTGGAAACAACAAAGGCACCCCCTGCAGTAGTAGAGATCTAATACTGGCACCCATAAGCAGCTGGCAGGCTGCCTTCTGTAATTTTAGCGCACACGGATGCGGAGGAAAGGTTTAATGGGCATTGGTGGACATGCCCCCCTCGCGAGGGCGTAAAGACATCAGAGCGGAGAGGAGAGGGAGAATGGGGAGGTGAGACGCAGACAGGAAGGCTGAGAGTAAAGAGTGGGCTGCTTTTGCTTCACGAATCAAGTCGGGCAACTATGAGCAGTAGCATGAGTCCTCGAGCACATGGACTCTATCTGACTCTGTGCTTTTGCTATGGCCTGGCGCACTCGTCTTTCCGGGACAGCTTTAGTTCTTTCCCAGCAGGTAAGACCATTGTCATTATCTGCGCGTTTCTCTTAATGTGCAAACATGCATGAACAGATGTTGAAAGTGCCCGGGGAGCATCGGCATGAAGAAAAAGGTGCGATCTAAGGAAGTCCAATGCAACTTAGTATATAATAAGGCTAATTTTTGATTGACAATCAGAGAGATATTAGTGTAACTTTTTTTTTGGGGGGGGGGGCATGTGGGGTACTTTGCAGTGATTTAAATTTGCTTTGTATTTTTACTTATTTGTGTCATTTTATATGGGAAGGACGATACGGTATTAGAAACAGCTCTCAGGAAGATGCGGATCTGAAAACAAGATATATGTTGAATTCAGTCATCAGTGTCAATCGAAAATGAGCATTATTATCATCGTGAAGGTCGACTTGTTTGTATGCATGTTTTTGGGTCTTATTCAACGTGCGTGTTTCCGTGTACCGAGTGAAGTGGTCTTGTAAACTACTTTTGTTATTATGTCGTTGTTGTCCACGAGGTGGACTGGAAATGCCTCTATAAATAGCCATTGCAGCGGTACCTCATGTCTGCACGAGAAACTGTTGGACGGGTGTCACCATTTGATAGTTTGCACCTGTTTCCTGCATGCTAAGTGTTTGTGCTTAGCCTTCTTTTGGGATTGCATGTTTGCCGCCAAATGTTTCCCATGCATGTTCATCAATGAATCCACTCACACATGCGTACACTCAAACGAACAGCATTCGTTGTATTGTTGTGGCCTCTCCTCACTATCTTCCTCCTTGCTTGTCGTTACACCTTGCACAGTGCTCACTCCCCAGGAGCAGCAGCGGAGGTTGAACCCATGCTGTTTAGTGAGTCCGCCTCCACCTCCCCTATTCCCTCCACCCCCTTCACTTTGGCGCCGCCACATTCATGTGAGTCCAAGTCATGTGACCGGCCTCCTTTTGAGGAATATCCGACGTCTCTCAATGTTGTCGTGTCCTTGGATTATGTCCAACTGGTGTCACACACCCGCTCTCTTTTAACCTCCAAGTAACAGATGCACAGATACTGTACACGCATACTTAAAATAGATGAGATGTTGTGGTATGCTTTGGATCATTATTCTGTGAGCATCAGTCAAAGATTATTTGTTATATTTTGTTATTTTCTTCCATTAGGATAGTGATTCAGGCTCCTCATCTGAAAGTAAAGGTTCCTACTGTGCCCGTGGGCCCCCCGGACCTACTGGCCCCCCTGGACCTCAGGTAAGAGCTTGCAAAATGTCAAATTGTCTTTTGTCAGTCTACATGTTTAGTCAGGACCTGACAAATACTATGCAAGTGTTTTAACTGACACTTAAAATTTAAAGATAATAGCTTTTTTTTGTATTCTCAGAACTTTGAGTCACCCTACCGAATCTCCTGAAGTTTATCTGGCACAGTTTGGGCACAGGTTGACACAGGGTTTGGGCTAAGTGTTTTCCAACCTTTATTGAGCCAAGGCACATAGCTCATAGTTCACATCAGAAAATATCTCTTGCCACATCACCACACAAATGTGTCACAAAAAGTGGATATCCGGTTAATTATGTGCCTTCTGACATTTTATTGTTCTGCCTGTCACTATATGTCACGGATAAAGATTCTAAAACAGAGGTAGGGGACTCGAGAGCCATATCCTGCCTGTTTTTGAACCCTCTCTATTCTTACACATCTGATTCAAACGATCAGCTCATCAGCAAGCTCTGGAGAAGCCTGAAACGATCATGATCAATTGAATGAGGTGTGTTGGAGTTGGGAGAGCTCTAAAACAGGCAGGATATGGCTCTCGAAGAACCGGAGTTCCCTACCCCTGTTCTAAAACGATAATACAGTACATCATTTTTGGACCAATTAATTGCAGCTGGAGAATTTCACGCGCACACCTGAGTGAAGCACCGGTTAAGACTTTGGACTTAAAAATAGACACATCTTGATTTTCATGCAGTTGCAAGCTCTTTTAGGAAGAGCTGGGCTTTATGATGATGATGATGAAGATTATAATTATCATCATTTTGAATATTAAAAAAAAAAATCATCCCACAAACTGTTTCACAGTTTTCAAGTGCCTACTCCACATTGGTGGTGTGCGCATCTCGTGTATGGACTCCAGCGAGTCAATTCTGTTTCCGCCATGCACGTGCCTCTCATGCGCTTAATTTAAAGGGAATGAGAGGCACCCCTCTCATTGGCCAGGAAGCAAATCTCCAAAAAGGTCAAAGCAAAGAAAACTTCCCCTATGCGCACAGCTAGACTGCATTTAGTTCGAGACTTGTGCTGGGCAAGAAAATATTGGGTCAAAGGAGAGGGTTGACGGATGTTCTTTTTCAACTCGTGTATGATCTGGGGATTTGTTGTTGTTGTTGTTGGTTTTTTTACATTCGCTGGAGGTTTTTCCCAATCATGCCCAATAGATTTAAAATAAGATTCAGAACTGAACAGGTGACATGTTACTGGGGTCTCCAATTTGAGAAAATCCTGGAGAGGAGACAGGAGGGGGACTCTCTCATGCATGGAACACAGCAGCCCATTAACGCTCTGCATTTAGCCACAGACATAAATAGCCTTTTTCCACTGGCGGACCGCAGCGCACCTCATGTCATTTTTTTTTGACACTTGATGAAGAGTTGTCTGCCTGGAAAGGCACACTGGCTTGCGTACATTCCGGGGATTACCAAACTAAGGGCGTGGCCATGTGATTACATGGCCGATGGAAGCTTATTAAGACATTCAGGCAGATTTTTCTCCCCTATTCTCCCGACATGAATCATTTATTATTAAATGTTTTTCTGCATCCGACCACACTGGGCTGCCTCAGCAGCATCAGGGCCCCAGCAGCCACGTTTTCAATCAATAGCTGCCACTCAACCCTTAATTTAAACTGCAGCTCACATTTCCACATACAGACTTTTTACGCTTTACACTGGGGGCAGTGGGGACGGGCATATTTAGAAATAATGTCTTAATAACGCACACCTCACACCTCCCCTGGGATTCACGAAGAGGACGTGATGGACTTGAGAAAAGTAAAGGAAAAAAAATGACGTTTCATTTAAAAACAAAAAAAAAATTTGAAAAGCTTTATAGGTTGTCGATTCCCTGCATAATCGCTGATCACTCCTCACGAATTCCCCTGTTCATTTTTTTGTCTGTGGAACTACAACATTTTCTGTGAGACACACTGATGTGCGGTTTCTGAAATGTGGTGATAGACCACACGCTGCTGTCAAAGCCTTTTCTAAACAGGAAAGTTGTACAGAAGTGATAGTGAATGGAATTTTATGCTGGGGAGGAGCCAAGTTTAACCTGGGTTGTTTTCGCGGATGGTATGGAGAGTCTTCGCTCCATGTGCACGTATATGAACACTTCCGGCACGATTTCTTGAATAGTTTTGATTATATCTACAGGTTCAACTATTTATATGGGCAGTTATAACATTAACATTTTTGGTCAATGGTTTTTCGCTGTTTGCAGCAGGGCTTGGTGCTAATGCCACTCAAGTAGAGGGGGATTACTCATTATCCTTTTGTAATTTATGTTTTACAGGGTCCACCAGGATTACCAGGTATTGGAGGATCCAAGGGAGAAAAGGTAAGGAGATTTTCCTCAATGACATTCGTGCCACTCAAGATACATGATCATACGTGCTCATTATTTTTGTGAGCTCAATTTGTCTTGGCCTGCAGCCCGAGATGCTGACAGATGCTAGTTTGGAAATGCATTAACGGCATCTGTCCTTGTCCCTCCTTCACATCCTGTTGTCAGGGAGAAATCGGAAGACCTGGACAAAAGGTGAGCGTCTCCATTAATCACCAGTTATTCTACGCTAAATGGATTTGCACAAAAATGAAATTCAATGTCAGTGGCTCTTCTGTGAGCAAGAGCAACCTTGACGGGATACAGAGCACATGCGACAGCCAATTGCAAAAGATGCTGAGCTCACATTGGGAGGGCCTTGTGCCTGGAAGACGACCACCCAAAGGCATTTGAGACTGCGTGCGTCGCTGTAATGTGACACAAACCGCAGGGCACGGGTGTGTGAAAGATGAGGTGTTTAGCGTGACTCCCATCGGAAGAGTAAAATTCCCCAACGATGACTTTGTGTGTGGACAGTGGGAGAGATTCACTGGTGGGTGATCTGAGCGAGCAACGTTTGCAGCATTGCAGTGCAATTTAGCTTAGTGCTCGGAGCCAGGTCATAAATCATTTTATTTCCCACAAGCACCGGCTCCTGTTCTATACACAGGCAATCATTTAATTAAATAGGGCAAAGTGACAGCGCTCGTTAAAGTCAGTCCTCTCCTGCGTGTACTCCTGCACATGTCAGATAAATACTGTTGCAAGCAGACTGACAGCCTTTGCAGCAAATACTTACTAGCAGTGACATTTTATTTTGCTTGTATTTCATCGTACAGGTTGAATTATGAACTTTTACTCCCCATAAATGTCCCGATTTATAAGCAGAACAGGCTTGATCAGGTGTTTGGTTCTTAAAAATCTTGTCCCCCACCCCCACCAGGGTCGGACTGGTCCCCCTGGACTCCCCGGAAAGCAGGGACCAGTTGGATGGCCAGGATCAAGTGGGCCCAAAGTGAGTAAGTCAGATTTCTTTTTGTGGATACTCTATGTTGACGTTGATGCACAAGAGTACGCTCAGTCAATATATTTCGCAAATAGTGTTCCGCAGTTCTTTGATAGTAATTTCTCTAATCAGTTATGGGGAAATGAATGATAGTGGTGACCAGCTCTGCCTCAAAGTTCTGAGTTTCAGAGTTCAAATCATGATACTCCATCTTCCTCCCACTTTCCAAAAACATGCTTGTTAGGTTCACTGATGACTCTAAATTGTCCGTCGGCGCACATAATAACAATTGCAAATGTGAATTGTTGTTTGACTACGCGTGCATTGTGATCGGCTGGCGACCCGTCCAAGGTGTACCCTAATGATGACATGTGCTATGGAAAATGGATAGATGAAATTTTTGTGTGACGGGCAACTCCCTGAATGTTTCGAACTGCGGTTTCTATGCCAATGCTGTACTGAGTAGAATAATGCTGCCCAGAGGAGTCGAATGATCAGAGTTTAAAATCCAATTGCTGACGCCATGTCATACTTGTTTACACCAGAAAATAGCTAAAACTGCATTCCATTTTGTCTCATTTGCTCAAAATTAGGATTTATCCACAATTAATTACATTCTACGTAAACAACTAATTCATTATTATACCCTATTTCTTTAAATCAAGCTTTTTTTTTTTTATTATTATTTTTCTATGGTTAGGGAGAGAAAGGTGATACTGGCCTAATGGGTTTACCCGGCGGGAGAGGAGCAATTGGACCCAGGGTAGGCAATCCATAAATTAACGATTACATCTCAACCACTGTTTTTGCATATAATAATGCCTTTCTGTATTTTAGGGTTTACCTGGGTATAAGGGTGAAAAGGTGTGTTAACCCCGTCATTGTGATGATTGACAGTTGTAGGCTTTGAAAATGACTCATCTATGGTATGCTTGCTTCATCAGGGTTCACGAGGCGAACATGGCAAGGGTGGCTCCAAAGGTGACAAAGTGCGTACATAATCAGGATTTTTTTACGCAAATCTTGATGTATTTGGACACATTTGATGCATATTGTTTTACATTGTACTCACTTTTATTTTCAGGGGGCAATGGGATTCCCCGGAATGCTGGGACAGAAAGTGAGCTGCAAATTCTTCAGACAACCCTTTTTTTTTTTTAACACATTGTTAATTTTGGTGTAATGTTTTTTGGGTTTTTTTTTGGACAGGGTGAAATGGGTCCAAAAGGAGAACCTGGTGTTTCAGGAAACAGAGGACCCACTGGTCGACCAGGCAAGCGAGGCAAACAGGTGAAGTGCCAGAAAAAAAAATAATGATAATAATAATTGTTTTTTTTTGATAACCTACTGTAATATAATCGCAACAATGCAAGTATTAAACTTTTTCCAAAACATGAAATACGTTGCATTCTGACTGCCACAGTTGTCAGAGCAGCAGTAATATACTGTCGGTAGGATTATCACACAGTCACGTTTAGCACCAATGCTAGTGCAACATGAGATGTGTCCTGGCTGGTCCATCAATAGTATGGACCATTAAAGTATGGGATTTATGTGGCAATCACTAGCAAAATTCTGTTGTTCACTATACTTCAAAAGATTGCATAGCTACCGTTGCGTTCATTATTTGTTACGGCTTCTATGAATAGAATATGTAAGCATGCATGAAAGTTAGCGGTGTGAATCACGTTGTATATTTTTGGCTTGTGTTGCAGGGAGTGAAAGGAGAGTCAGGCAGTGGCGGTCCCAGGGGACCTGCAGGTCCACAGGGATCTCCCGGACTTCCTGGTCCTCCTGGTCCTCCTGTCACAGGTGACGACTTTGACCTCAGCTGCTTTTTGCATATCAGTGCAAAGTGACACAATGCTCAGTCAGAGCAACTGACGCTGGCATGCTTTCCGCTGTGGCAGCGGGTGCAGCCAAGCGCCCAGTCAGCAGAAGGCAGCAAAGACTGGCGTAAGCGTTTGTCTTATTTAGTGAGGAGAAATCTAATCCCCTGAGGTGAGGTAAAATGCTTGCCTCATGACGTCATGGGGCTAGACTGGGCAGGGAGGCTTCTGCTACATTTCTTGGTCACACGCTCTGCATTAGTTAACCAATGTCCAAAGTCACTCACAAATAATCCTTTTTTTCTATTCTCTTGATGTTCAGGACTTCACATGGTTGGAACCAAAGGTGCTCGCGGGCCCCCCGGGCAGCCTGGACAGTGTAGCTGCAGCTCTCTCAGTGGTTCTCTATTAGAAAATTATCACTCCAAAGGAAAGCCTCAAAATCTCAAAGTACCCGCGGTGAGTTGAAAATACTCCTTTTGCATTGAAGAAATGGGATGTTTTAATTTCTCGAGTGGGAATGGACATGCTAATTGAATTGTATATCAATTGATTGATAGGAGTTCTGTCACGGGGCTCTAGGCGTGTGGTCTTAATCTGCGCAGAGGCGGGTTAGACTAGACGCGTGCAAGCCAGTGTATTTAAAAAAGGCAGGTTTGCGCTGTTATGGGTGTGACCACAGCCGGCGTCATTGCGAGACATTTCTGTGTGGGGAAAAGTACGCAGTGAGCCATGCATGACCAGCGCATTGTCACTGCAGCTGTGGCACCTGACGATGTAAGTGGGGTGTCCTCATAAAATACTGAATGAGCTGATGAGAAAACCTATAGGGACTTAAATGTGTCTATGAACCTCATATATGTATCCCCACCACTGATTGGTTGTGTCTTGCAAAAGAGATTGTAAGCCTCAATGACTTTTTTTAACCTGGTGAAAATAAAGGTCAAAGGAAAATTCCCCAAATATTAAATGCCCATCTTTATTTCAAATCCATTGCAGAAAGAAAGCTTGACTGTAATCTACTACTTTTCTCAGAATATCAATTTGTCTATACCTGTATCTCATTCCAATTACAATGAAGATCTTCTATTCTCATAAATTCACATACTGTACTAATAATTTTGCATGTAAATGTTTTTTACAAGACAGTAATAAAAACAAGATTTCCATGGGATTGTTTTGACAGCCGAGTTATCACAGTTTCATGCATGTTTGCGGTCTCGTGGTTTACTATTTAGGAAATGACATGAGACATACATAAAATGCTACGTTACTGTACGTGTACATGTTTCATATGCTTTCCTCACGTCTTTTCAGATCTTTGTGGTGAGCAACGAGGAGGAGCTGGAGCGTCTCCACACAGAGAACGCTTTTGCATTCCGTAAAGATCAGAGGTCTCTCTATTTCAAAGACACTGTTGGCTGGTTTCCAGTTCAGGTATCGCGCCGGTCGACAACATCCTTCATTATCAATCGTTTCTTGGTCAAATAATGATCGACGAGCGTCTTTTCCATTCGTTGCTCAAATCTCTTAAACTCTGTAAAAGACTTTACCATTCCAGATGACGGCGTTCCAGTCGATGGAGAACCCGCCTGACGACGACGGTTACTGCGGCGACGGCATCGTGCAGCGCGAAGGCGGCGAGGAATGTGACGACCGGAACAAAGTTGTCACTGACGCCTGCGTCAGTAAGTTGTCTTTCATACAATGAAGTAGGTGGGCACTTAGAGGAAGTCTAAATGTAAGAAAATACGAGCCCGCACGTTGTATTTATTTATTTGAAGTGTTTTGTGTTTGTATTGTTTTGACTTTTATTTTGCTTGGTTGATTTTTCATCATATGCGACACCGTTCCTATAAATCTCTGCAAGTTTTAACATTTTTAACAATCGTTCCTCAAAAATTCCTAGGAAATCACAATACCTCATCACTGGACAACCATTTGTCGAGCACATCCGCGGGCTATATGGGCTACCTGACCCCTGTTACACACGCAGCGTTTCGCATCTTTTAACACAATCAAACTAAATTTAGTGGGAAACCATTCAATTCTTCTGCCTGTCATTATAAATAAAATATACAAACATGTAAAGAAAAATTTAAAAATGAAGCCTACTGACCATCTAAAATAAATATTTTTTCCCCTAACTGCAGCCTTTGCAATTTGTAGAATGTCTTGTGTCACATTGAGATATTATGTTGAGTCCAATTAATTGTTCAGCACTTCTCAAGATGTATCATGTGATTAACAGACACAAAAGAAAACATATGGCGGGACGATGCCATAGCTCTTGATGTAAGAACTGAAATGATTTTGGTCATTATCAAGAAAACGAGACGAAAGAAATGGCTGAATAGAAGTTCTTTTTAGGAGCTACATTTGTTGCCATCATTCTATTTGTCATGATTATTTTTTTAATTAAACTAGGAACTGAAGAAACAAGGGTGGTGTAATATTTTTTTTTCCATGACTGGAAATAGATGAACAATGACACGTTATATGTAGCTAAGACATTTTCAGTCCATTTAAGTGAAGTTAAGAAGATAACTTCCTGCAGCACACCTGTTGCTCGGTCACTATGCACTCGCTGCAGCGCAACGGCTACGTATCACGAACTCCGGTGAAGTCGATCTGCAACTCGATGTTGTTCTTTTTTTCTTTTGTCATCTTACCACAGAGTGTAAACATGCCTTCTGCGGCGATGGATATCGCCACGAGGGCGCGGAGGAATGCGACGGCAAAGACTTTGGCTACCAGACGTGTCATTCATATCTGCCGGGGTAAGCGTGGCTCACTGCACAACGCAAAAACCATAACCTCCGAAACTCTTACTCGACCGCATGGACTTAATTAAGCAAGTGTCCTCTATTTATTTGCAGGTCATACGGCCACCTGAAGTGCACGTCGTATTGTGTTATCGATTCCACAAACTGCAAGTACTTCACCTGAGCTGAAAGCTGGACATTGCGTCCAGATCCTTTTATGCGGGGGAACACAAACTGGGAATATACTTTTCACGCCAAACAAAAGAACAAAGACAGGGAAGACGCGGTAGATGAACTGAAAGCGAAGCATATACTGTAGATAACTCCCGTGTACTTGCTGCCGCATTGAATCCCTCGGAGCGTTGCTATTGTAGGTGGGAGGGGAAACTTTTCACCCACACGTCGGAAACAGCAAGACAGCTTCGCACCACCTTAACCAGCCGGATTTAAGTCCGGCTTCCTCATCACGTCTACGTGGGCACAAATCCGTGTGTGAGGGCAACGGATGCGTGCCAGCCGTGCTGAGAGACTTTGCCACGGGCATCATAATCTTTACCCAGATACTATCGGAAGAAAAAAAAAAAAAAAACAACACGCACACACACCAAAAAAACTGAGAGCTGGGCCGACGCCTCTGGTATTGTGCCAGCGCAGCAGCATTTGCATGAGGCTGGCCATCATCAACAAGCATGTATCACTTGACCTCTTACCGGTTTCCACTTTGTACTCTTAACCTCACATTAACATAAGCAGGGATGTAAGTCAGTAAATAATGTTCTAGCGCTTTTCCAAACGAGACTGTTACACACCGCACCGGCGACACAGGTGGTGCTTCTGGACTCAACACACACATTTGGTCACATATCCAAGAACAACTCAGGAACAAGCAGGTCGCGTCAAGTCTCACAAGGATCCACCTTGGTTTGGAGAGGCACACAGGAAGCTCATGGGGGGGGGGGGGACGTCCAGTGTCCAGTGATCCCCCGTTCATTGTGGATGTTACATATCCAGAGCCACCAGTGATAAGTGAAAATCCGTTGATTTCCAGAGACCGTAAAGTATCCATACAAACTACACTTTGTAAACACACTGGAAGCATATGCGAGCATCCAAGAAATAATTTGCAATCATGAAATATATCGAAAACGAGCCGAGGCACATATTATACAGTGGGAAAATCTCATGTCACACCACCAAAACAAAAATATGGCAAAACAGTTCTGAAATAATGATGAGCTCGTCTCAAGTGACTCCCAAATTGACTTGCTCAGTCTGAAATCTGTTCCTGTTTAGTTGAACACAAAGCTCTTTCTTTGTTGAATGAATGGCGCACAAGCGAAATGTACCTTCTGCCATTGAGTCGAACATTTAATTGTTTTGTCTGTCACTATATTGCTGACATAGATATATGAATGAAGACACATTATATGAATAAATAAGAATTTTCGTGAAACATTTCCCACAGCACACCTGATGATCTCTCATGGCACAGTGGTTGGGAATCAACTGAAAAAAAAAAGTTAATTAGTGAATTTAGTTTGCAATTTTAAAAAATCACTCTATCATGTCTGGTCACACTTTCAGTATGACCTGACAATAATACATGTTTAGAATTTTATGAACAAAAATCCTCCAGGTCATACCGACAGTTTGAACAAATATGACAGAATGCGATTTTCTTTGTGAAACCTGCAAACGCCCCCTTGAAGCCTTAAAATATCCTTCCTACATGCTGAAACCACACTGAAACTTATCTAAACACACTTTTGAAGACATTGTAATGCTATCTCAAAAAAAAAAGTTTAATAAGAAAAAAACCTGCAATATCGTCGGGGATTACTGTAATATACTCCTAGATGTGAAGGCTTGAAACTGTTATGTCCTTAAACTCAGCGTACAGGCGAGGCTGAAATAGGCCATAGCTGCTAAATAGACAACGAAGCTGTTTTATGGTCCTTACTGTATTTACTCTTATTACCTCGTTCTCCAGTCTTTGTGTCTTACCGTCACGCCAGCGTGTCAATGTGTAGGGCGGCGTAAAAAAAGAAAGGAATTAGTCGACATAAGCTTCCCCTGTCCATAAGCTACCGTTGCCAAAGGAGACGTCTCCTCACTCCTTTGCAAAACGTCCAAACAAGACTGTTATGATGTTGTGTCCGCAATGCACGTGCCCATGTGATCACAACAGCCTTTTTTTTTTCTTTGTGTAACTCTCATCGGTGTAGCGTGTGTCTTAAGAAACGTGTTGCGGAGTACAGCTGTCAAGTGATGCAATGTATTAGGTTCAAACACACCGTGCTGAATGTTCCCGCTTGTGAGCTTTGTCCCATACTGTAACGCGCACAACACAACACAACACGCATGTGGTAACTCTGTAAGGCTTTGTATGAAATGTACTCTGCGCTCTGACTGGAATAGTGAACAATGGTTATGTGTTGTTATTCTGATATGATTTATACGGATGTTCAAAAAAAAATACAATATAAATGAAACTTCAAAAATACGTCAAGCTGCTTTCTGTCTTGCACTTTCAAAAGAAAAACCATTATTGATTGAGTCCATTTTTGATACCGCTCATCCTGTTCACATTGACTTGACCAAAGACAGAGTACACCCTTGATTGGTAGCTAGTCAATCACAGCTCACATTTTGGGACACACAACCGGTAACGCTCACATTTAGTACACAACGATGGACAATTCTTCAATGAATTTAACATGTATGCTTTTGACATGTGGGAGGAGAAAACCCATGCCACATGCGAAGGTCAGAACTTAGAAAGTAGATTTGAACCCCAAAACTCAGAGCTGTTAGCATTAAAAAAAAAAAAAAAAAAAAGGATAACAAAAATGACACTTTAAATTTGGACAAAAATTGTGCATATGTGCAAAATACGTGTTCTTAATATATTTGTGAAAATACTGTTTTCAATGCTTGTATAAAAGATTCACTTTTTCTAACCCAAAAAAACAGTTTCAGGCAAGCAACAAAAAAACCCCAAACTGTAATCCCCCCCCCCCCCCCGTGCAAAAAGTGCGTAAAAATTAACATACTGTACAAGGATGGGACAAGAAGCCAACATTAAGTGCAAGAGCTCATTTTGTTCGCAAAAATAAAGGGATTCCAAATCGTTTTGAAGTACTATGTTTGTCCTGCATATAATTAATTCACCAAAAATTATTCGGCCTGCTGCTGTTGTGCAACATAATACACAGTGTAACTAAGACGTGTCTGCCATCTAGTGGTGATTGGCGATATTACAATTTAAAACTAGAGTCAACCCCTGCATATTTGGAGCTTGTCACCCGTAGATTTGCATATTTTTAAAAAATATTTTAGATTTTTTTTTCCCGTTTTTATGGAACTCACCCTTATCCACTCCTTTTTCATGGAGTCAGCGAGACTGGAGCCAACAATGAAAGCTCCCTGCTGGATGCTCTTCGAGGGCAAACCTCTCATTTGAAGCACGTCCATCAACTTCAGTTTTGACACCGTCAGCAACCTCTTGGCAAACTGCTGTGTTGAACTCGACAAGAAACAGACCTCGCTTCTCCCCATCGAGGCATAATAGTTGCATCTTAAAGCGACCATCGCTTGAGTGTCAGTCACGAGATGCTGATTCAGGTCTGCGATGGGCTGCTGGCCAGTGTCGCAATGAATGCGACCGTGTAACTGCATTACTACAGTGCGACACTGTCAGCCTTGTCTCAATCAGACGTCAAGATTCACTTTCAGGACAGGAGATCCAGCAGACGAGATACATGCGGTCTGGAAGAACTTTTTAATGCTATTTCAAACTCTTTAATGGACTCAGGGGCAACATTGTGTTGATGTTGACAAAAGGGTTGAACAAAGAGTGGACAAAAGGACAACTCAAATATGTTTATTAAGTACTTATCAAATATCTCCATAGACATAGAAAAAAAATTATATATGTACTGCATAACGAAACAGTTACGTGATTAACATGAGCACATATCCGCAACCATATTTCAATGGACTTCTTGTGCAAGTTTATTGTATGCTTTAAAAAAAAACAAAAAAAAAAAACAATTGTAACAAGGTCTAAAAAAGAAAACTGTTTCACTGACTCGTAAGTAATAAATTAGCACAGCGATAGAACCATGATGACATCGTACATCGATGGATGAGATCATCGCATTTTTCCACTGCATAAAAGAGGATTGAGTCAGTACATTGAAGGCAGTTTTCCATGGATCTATCCGTCCCTCTTTAGATCCGAATGAGATGAAACTAATGACACGTTAATAACTTAAGACAAAATAAATAAACCGAGAAAACGCATTGGCTTGTTGAGATGTCAGTATGTTCGTAGCCATGTTCTACATGAATATTTATTTAGTTCTCCAGTGTTGTCGTGCTAAAGCCATCCTCGTTGGTCCCTCTTAGTCAAGAAAGAAAATAAATGCATTTCAAATCAAATTTGTAAGCCTTTCGTCACTAAACAGACGTAGTGCAACGTTAGCAAGTTAGAATAATAAAAATGTCCACTAGGCAAATCACCTAGTAAGCTTGTATTAAAAACACTGACATTGATTTTGTGTCCATGTACTATACATTCGGACATTTGATTTCAAACTCAGAAATCAAACTTGTAGTCTTCATATGTACTTTTAAATGTACATACAATTGACGCTAAAAACTACACTTCATTCTGCGAAAAGCTCTTCAGTGCAGACTTGGTTCTGTCTTGTAACTTCCACGAGGGTCTTGAAACGCGCTCATGCTCCGTTTAGTGCATGGAAAAGGCGTGGCTCCTTTCTGTGACTTCGCCCACTTCCTTCAGGGGGCATGCTGGGGTTTTAGACCACCTCGTCAGATTCCAGGTTGTACTCCTCATAGAGGGCGTCCAGGATGGTCATCAGCCTATCAATGGCGGGCAGGTAGACGCCGAGGTCTCTGTGCATGCCGCTGGTGAAGCCGCTCTTCAGCTCGTCGCCTTCGATCGTCACCAAGGCAGCCGTGAAGCTCTGATAGGACGGAGCGGCTCGCAACGCCAACTAGAAGGGACGGGAGGGGTGTGTGTGTGAGGAATGTCACGCCAAAGCACTTCACAGTCTTCATTTGGGTCCTACCGCAAAGACTCCCCGGACGACCCATCCGTGATACTGACGAAGAGTCTTGCCGTAAGCGTGATCTGAAGAAGAGGACAATTACAACGAGCAACTGCTAGCAACTTGACTCGTTGAGTTTCCACTGACTGAGTGCTCCGTGGATGTCTTGCTCCCCCGCGTTGACCTGCGACAGGAACTCCTTGAGGAACTTGAGGCCCCGCCTGAGCCACAGCAGAGCCTCAGTGGCCGAGTTGCGCACCTGAGCAACCTGCGCATGCACCTCGTGCAGCACAATGGACTGCAGCGTGGGGAAGCTGGCCGGGTCCGACATCAGTTTCTGATTGATCTTCTACAAGCAGGAAATGAAAACTTGGAATCGCTTTGATGTATTTCTTGATGGTTAAAAAAAAAAAAAAAAAAAAAATTCAAGTGCTGCTAATCACACATCCACTCACCTTGATGTTGCCCACAAAGTCCATTTTCACTGGAGCAAAGACGGTGGGGCCAAGTTTGTCTGAGAGGACACAAACAAAATCATTGTTCTTTGTTTAGCAATGTAAGTAAATAAATAAATAACATTGAAAATAAAACACTATAAAATTTGCAAGAAACCACCTTTGAAATGGTACAAACAAGTTTTGTTCTGCTTTTTTTTTTTTTTAAAGATCAAAAAATAATGTAAGGGTTTTAAATAATACTTGTAATAATGCAAGGACTGTAATAATAGAATTCTATACATATATACACGTACATACATACATACACGTACACACATATAAATACATATGACTATTTCAACAATGGGCTGTTGTTTTTTTTTTTTCCAAGAATTATATCATTGAGGGAACTAAATTGTAATTTTAATGGAATGAGGACAATAAAATAAAAATGAAGTCGTCATAATACTGTCCTAAAACGTGTGCAAAGAAACTGAAATTCTTCCAAAATGTGAACCTTTTACAGGTAATGGTGGAACTATTGTTCATTGTTTCATACCACAAAACGTCTGTGTGATAGTATGTTAGGCGTTCATAATTTGCACATTTTTCCCCAACTTTAACATGAATTCCCGATTATTTACTTGAAATGAAAGATATTTTTGGTCAATCTTAAGTTGCGAAGGCTTGCACGAGCATGAAGATTGTTGGTGTCAACGATGACGACGACGGCGGCGGTGATGATGATGATGATGAAATTCCCAACATGGGTGTGAATGAAGATGAGATAAGAACGAACTTCCTTTTCGTGAGTTTGCCGTACCGAAATTGAAGAATCAAGAGTTTGTTTTTCCTTGCAATGGCCAGTCATTACATCCAGGTGGTGCAGGCCGATAAATTACAATATTCTTTGCTCATTTATATTAGTCGATCAAATCAAAAGGTGAAACTCATTATATGGACTCATGAACCTTTCCAGAATCTCGATATTAAAAATCTGAATTTCTTGTTTTCTTGGATGCGAGTTACAGCATGATAATCACAATTATCTTTATAAAAAAAAATAATAAAAAATCGAATTGTGAAATCTATCACTCTGTATGTATTGACCTGAAATAACATACCAAGTGAACGACCAAAGTTTCCCCAAATAGTTCAATTCATCGAGAAGAACCGACGTGTACAAATGAGCTTCATGACGGAACACTCGCGAGTGTGCAAAGGTTCGTGCATGTGAGAGAAGAAAAAAAAAAATGCAACCAATGTGAGCAAAATCAAGCCCCTATGTGAGAGACGAAAAAAAATGCAACCAATGTGAGCAAAATCAAGCCCATTCTAATGAGAACCGATGTAATAAAATGTAGTTTCTTTAAAGAAAAAAATGACATCATGAACCTCGATGATGGATGTAGCGACCTGGGTGGATCTTTAGAAAACTGCATCGATACTTTATTAACTCATTCACTCCCAAAGATGTTTTTAAACGTCTTTTCAGACTTGGTCCAGAATTGGCTGGTACCGAATGAGGTAATTGATTCATCCCATGAGGGTAATTCAAGCATGCTTCTCTCAAAACTGAGCACGATCATCTTAAGGTTGACTTTTTGATGCATCATTTGATTTCAAGGTGACACAATAAGCATTACAAAAAAAAAAAATAAGGCACCAGAGACACCACAGATGTGAAGGCCAGGCAGAAAGCATTTAGGGCACGTGAAGGACAGAATGAGCAGCAATGGCATGAAAAGAAAAGAAACCACTTGTCAGTGGCCTTCTTTCAAGAGAGGACATGAGGAGGACACGACTGGCCTACCTAATACAGGCACTATTGCATAGCATGAGTCCAAAAACTCTTGCGTGGGGATGCCATTGTCGTCATCCAGCTTTAAATCACTAAATCTAGAAAACAAAAGGGGAGGGAAGCAGATCCAGACAGGAACAATATTAAACACGTCGTCGACTTTATTTTGAGACAAAGGAGACACAAAAACGATACAGAGAAGGAAACAAAAGCCGTCGAGAAACACTTGATCAGCGGCGTACGTGCGAGCTGAGAGATGACAGTGCAGCTTTCGTCGGACGACATCCAAGCACAGGCGGCTCACACAACTTTTGCTCCGTGTCATTTCTATTAGAGTTTTCCGTCGCATACTGTATACACGCTTTGTTTGTTCACTCACAGTCAGCAAAAGACGAAGATAGATTTATAGTAAGAGAATAAACATGACATCACACTAATTTAAAACACTTGAAATGTAACGTGACGAAATCCCTTATTATTTATTTGTGCTGTTATCATGTCAGTGAAAAAAATAGAAGAAATCCATCACATTGACATCGGGTCGTACCTGTGACTCATTGTGCTGCTTATTTCTTTGTGCTGTTATCATGTCAGTGAAAACAAAATAGAAGAAATCCATCACATTGACATCGGGTCGTACCTGTGACTCATTGTGCTGAAAAAAGTCTCCACTGGCTCTTCTGGCTCAGTGGAATCCTTGAAAATCTCGTCTTCGCAGTCAGCTTGGCTTCCGTCAGGAAGTGCTTCCTGCCGAGGCTCCGCGCCGCCGCGCTCTGCGCTTCGGTCCCTTCTGCGAGTCTCCTTTTGCTCCTCGTCTTCAACGGCTGCTGCGGAGCCTTTCGCTTCGGAGGTGTTCTGAGATGCGGGGGGAAGAGGATCGGCATGCTGCCCCTGGATCGCGTTGTCGCCGTTGGCTGTGTGCAGGTCTGCGCGGCCTACGGGAAACGTGTTAGGCTTGGGAATAAAGTGGCGATACAGACGGACACATAAATACCTCGGCTTTACACAATCGGGATTTTGGAGCCGATGATCGAGTTTAAAAATGAATAAATAAATAACTAAATACATAAATTGGGGGTTGGGAACAAAAAAAAAAAGCAAACCCAGGTCATAATTGTTGTCATAATAAGTCAAAAGGAAATGAGTCCGCGTCTCCTCAAAAAGGCAAAACATCTGTGATCATCCCTTTGTTTGTTACATCAACAACAAACCAAACTTCTGATCTGTGAGGTCATCACTCTAAATATTATGCCAACACAAAGTGAATCCTGGAAGAATTGGACTTACTTGACGGGGAAGGTTGACGTTCTGGTCCGACGGGTTCATCTGGTGCTTCTGTGCCAGAATCAAGGCTACGGGTATCATGTGACAACACCTCTGTTTCTGACAAATCTCTCCACCTGGGATTTATTTAAATAAAGTAAACATTGTATTCTTTTCATATTGACATTACGTGACACTTAACCGTACTTACTTTTCTCCGAAGCGCTGATTTAAGTGATTGACAGGTTTAATCTGGAAGAGGTATGAAGGCGTCACACGTTTGCTCTGCTTTGATCGTATCAGGCGGCAAAACAAACGCACCTTCTGCGGTTTGATGGCGGCGATGGGAGGCGACGCCGGCGGGCTCTGCTTGGACGCATCTGGCGCAAAAGTACGATTGGCTATCTGCATGCACTCCTCCAGGGTCTTCAGGAAAGTGGTGCAGGTCGACTTCACCATCTCGCCCGTTTCTATGCCGGTCTGAAAAGAGAACACGAGACCATACGTGATGTCAGGGGTGGGGGAGACTTGGGACTTGCTTGGCTAAAACATACGAAAGACTCAACTTGACTTTGACTTGAACTACAGTGGATACAAAAAGTCTACACACCTCTATTCAAATGCCTTTTTTTTTTTTGGTGACAAAAAAATTGACTAAGACAAATATTTTCAAAACAGTTTTCCACCATCATGTTACCGATAACTTGTACAATTCAATTCAAAAAAGAAAACTTTGTGAAAAGGGAAGAACAAAATAAACAATTGACATAACGTGGTTGCAAAAGTGAGCACACCTTCTCATAATTGGGAATGTGTTCAGTTTTCATGACATTTTGTGCAGTCACCTCTTACACCCCAAGCAATGGTTTGCAGAGAACTTTCAAGGCCCAAGAGGGATTTGTTTACTCAAAGGGAACAGTACAAAGAAGGGTATGAAAGAATTACCAAGACATTAAAAATACCGTGAGACCACTGAAGATACTCACGACGTAAAACATTTCTACGTAAGGATTTTCTAAAAAGTTTTGGCTCTTCTTGATATGTTTTTGGCGATGAAGTAGGATGCCAAGACGGAAGCCATATATTAGATAAAGATCAGGAAGTGCCACACCGGTTCAAACATTAACTAACCTTACCTCTGTTATGTGTTATATTGGATAGACAATATGGAGACTGGTTGGGGGCTGATACGGCTAGTTTGTATTTCAAAAATGTATCCCTTACTTCTGCTGCGTCACCAAGCTCGTTGTCATCATCCTTGATTTTGTTCACTTGTTGAAGGAGGAGGTCGCAGTATAACCTGAGCTCTGACATCTTGGTCTTTAATGCTTCTGTGTTCTCTTGGAGTTCTGGAAAGAGTTATGAAACACAATCATGCTTTGTTGCAGCATTTTTCCCCTCAAGTTAACTGCTCATTTTATGATGACACATTTACCCTTCTCTCTTTTGGTTCGGTTGTCTGTCAGGCAAGCTTTTGCTGTTCCCAGAGCAACCAGCCATTTTTGCCTCTCTGCTGCATTGATGGCTCTCAGGTAGAAGTACTGCTCTCCGGGTATGGTCAAATCAAGCCGTGTGGAGTCAGATGAATGAACTAACAACCAAGATATAGTAATCGTCAACATGCCAGCACAATGAAAGGGAGTCATTCCCTCCCACTTATGTGATGTGAAAGATGATCAGATGCGTATGAGTAAATCGTTGTGATTTTAAATTATCTTTTTGCCACATTTTGGTGAGGTTGGTGAGGTCGTGTGACATTTTTTAAAATGTAAACTATGTTCCTTGTCTCAAGAAAGGATTAGAGTGGGATGTACAAACCTTGAATTTCACAAACTGAGATTTTAATGCTCCCCTTGCAGCCTTTCCAAGCATCCTCTTGAGAGTCATAATAGGACAAAGTTCCTCCGTCAAGCACAAACCATCGAGGTTGCCACCCTGGAACAATGTTTAAAAATAAGCACACATTAAGAGTGACTTCATTTTTTTCGTCGGCAAAGGAAATGCAACTACAGTACATCTTGTAGCACAAGTATTTTAAAGTTCGAGGAAAATGACACCTACTCTAATACGCGTTTAAATCTATACAAATGACTCACAATTGGCCTTATAGTAATCATGACACGATGAATTCATGTCAATTTATACAAATCGCTGTTTATAGAGCACAAGCAAGCGTCTGATGCTGTTAGCATGCGTTAGCTTGCCCGCTACCTCTTTATGATACCACAAACTCAACGCTGACGTCGTCATGCTAGCTAACTTCCATCACGACTACAGCTACAACATCAGAGCGAGGATATCCTACCGCTTATGTAATTGGTCCACTTGTATAGCATTCCCTCCATCGTTGAGGTGTTTTGTGTCATTCATTACTTGTTTGTCATGACAGGATTAAGCGCACAGCTGACTGACTGCAACCGCTGCATCTGCCCCCAAGTGAGATTTGCGGAGTTCAGTAAACAAACACATTACACTACATTGCGTCTACGTTGGTCAAAGTACGTAAAGTTTTTCTAGAATACGTTTGTAAGCGGCCACTCTTGCCTTATCGTCACAGGATTTGCGTAGGGTGGATGTGGATTTAAATAAGTGACATAAACTAGAACCAATGAAACGATGAAGTTTAGATACAGGGCGGGACTTTAGCAAATGATCCAATAAGAATTGGAGGAGGGAGAATCGTTGAACACTGACTCTGTTCATGAAGTTTGGTGCCACGTAGTTAACCTAAAAATACTGTTATAGTGTAAAGTTTATGAATATGATTAAAGGAACTGATTTGCAAACTTCGTGAGGAGGCGTTGTAAGTTAATTTAATACAATGATCTTGTTTTCCATTTGCTCGTTATTGTCGTTTGTAATTATGCTAGCCCATGGAGGCAAACTACCCGACCCCGAAGTCAAAATTGAAGTTGTCCATAAACCTCTCATGTGTCACCGAAAGACAAAATATGGCGACATGGTCCTTGTCCATTACGAGGGATACTTGCACAGCAACGGCACCATGTTTCACTCAAGGTAATGTCTCGAATTGATGTCAAATGTCACATCAATTATTCCTGAACTAACTCAGTGATGATGTTTTAAGTTCTGTACTGTACGACTATCAGTCTGATCCAACCATCATCCAACATGAGCTCTTAAAACACTGGAACTCTAATGTGCATTTGTGTGCCTGTATTCCAAAATAACACTGATGGATACTTGCAGCCGCCTTGAAGGTGATAAAAATCCGGTGTGGTTCACTCTCGGGACCCGAGAGGTGCTCCTGGGCTGGGACAAAGGTCTGCAGAAGATGTGCATTGGAGAACGCCGGAAACTGATTGTCCCCCCATCTCTGGCATATGGAAAAGAAGGGAAAGGTACGTTCAAAATAGTCTCCAGAAATGAGAGAAGTACACTGACAAATATTGTTTGTTTGCAGGAAAGATCCCTCCAAGCAGCACTCTGCTTTTTGACATTGAGGTCATCGATATCCGCAATGGGCCGAGGTCGCACGATACCTTCCAGGAGATGGATCTCAATGATGACTGGAAGCTTTCCAAGCAGGAGGTGGTGACTTATTCAACATTATTTTCTGCTGTACTTAAGTCCACTCGCACCAGGCAAGCCATACCATAAACAAGCACGTTTCACTCATAGTGTGAGTGTCTTGTACCGTGTTCAAGCAAGGAACAAATAAGGGATGAGCAACTACTAATACTGGCCTTATCGCAAGATATCGAGCCTAGACGGCATTCTCGGTTTGAAAAAGCCTGCACTCAAGGTAGCTCAGAGTATTGTTAGAATTTATCCAATAAAAATACATTTAGCCTTATATTTCTTTGTGTTTTCCCCAGAAACAATACAAATTTATAAACATTGCTCTGAAGGAAAAAAAAATCTCGCATTTCCACTTTTTCTGTTATTCACGACTATGCAGTATGGCTTGTTTGGATAATAAAATAAAGCAAGCCACAAAGAAAGTCAAGTCACAGTAATGCAAAGTGATTGTACATGTTTGAGTGCGCACTTGCGGCGTATTAAGTGTCGTTGTGGGCATCACAGGTGAAGGTGTATCTGGAGAAGGAGTTTGCAAAACACGGCTACTCGCCAAACGACACGCATAATGAAGCCATGGTGGAGGATATCTTCAAAAACGAGGACGAGGATAAAGACGGTTTCATCTCGGCCAGAGAATTCACTTATCAACACGATGAACTGTGAAGGACACATTTCATCAACACTTACAGGCTGAATATGTACTTTTGCTTTTAACGTACTGTATGTTCTGACCTCCGAACTTGGGTTGTTGACTTGATTTTGTGAATATTCATGTGCTCAGTGAACATGCACTGAAAATGTCACCACAGATGTATTTAAATGGGTAAGTTATTTTTTTCCCGTGAAATAAACAAAATATTTACCTCTGAAACGATTTGTGGGGTTATTTGGAATTTGAATTTGCAGTCAACCTTGGTGATGGATAATCTCTGTCTGGTCACTAGAGGGCACACTTGTACCTGATGAGTTGCCGTCTTGTGTTTTATCCCGTTATTTCCCCAAACGTTTAAAAGCCCGATAAAATCACATCCGGATTGATTCCACAAAGTGTGAACTGTTATTAATTTGTAGTAAAAGTTTAAAGGCATTCACCAACGTAAATTACACTTGACAGTGGACTCCTAAAAACGAGCACAGTAAAACAACCTGGAAAATGAAGGTGCCCGAACATAGGAAACGTTAAGAGTTCATTAATTGTGAAGTCGTGCTGAACAATTTCTGTTAAAATTCCCAATCGTGATCACCTACAATGTTTGCATAGAGTAGCTCCAGTCCGAATGAGGTAACAAGTACAGACAGCAAGACAAATCGAATTCACATAGTGGTGAAACATGTTCCCACAGAAAAAAAAAAAAAAAAACCACTCGTGGGATCAGGGTTGATTTCACCCTGCGGGCCACACCTTGAGGAACAACTGGAAGAGTGAGAACATTGCAGGGCAAAATTTGAGATTGAATCAGAGATAGCGGCGTCTGGATAAAATACATTACATGAAAAGAATATGACTTGAACAAGACAGTTAGCAACTTCAAACCTTGGCTTCCGGCTCTCAATAACTAATTAAATACAGTGAGCTGCCTGTATGAGGTTGCACCTTGAAACCACACAAATTCTTCAAACAACCATTTGATGAATATCATCGTAATCACCAGCTGAATCTTGTACGGAACAGCAAATGATGTCGATGTAGAGAGGAACATTTAAAATGGACTGATAGAGAAGAACAAATGTAATGTAAATGTAATACGGCTTTTATTTTTCTCAACTCTTTTGTATCCAGACACCAACTAAAACATGCATCATTCCCAACTGTATCTCTCTCTATATATATTACTGTGACAAAACAACATGATTCAGAGTAAAAAGACAAAAATAAACATCTTTAGAAAACAAATCTGTACACACGTTGCAAAAAAGTGCTTCATGAATTGACCAATTGTCTCATCTTTTTAAAATATTGATCACCGCGAGATCTTCTCTTGACCCAACATGAAAGGATGCCTTTTTTTTTTCACTAAAAGATGGATGACTTTCCCACAAATGATCCAGGAATTGCACGCGTGGGAAAGTTGATTTGTTAAGTCAAACAGACTGCACACGGCGTACACAGGAGGGTAAGCGGCGCACTCGTCAAATAAAATTGAGCAGCTTGTAAACATCTCGGATCCTGTGCGAAATCAAACACGACGGTCTTGACACTCCGTAACAGACAGAAACAAGACAATGCCTACAACTAAACTGTCATGCATGTAAGGAAGCTCCTCAAGAGCATCGTGATCAGAAATGACTCTCCTCAACGTGGCTTGGATTTCCTGGTAAAACTGAATAAATATGCGTCCGTGTTGGTGGCAGCTAGAACAAGACATCTTCATGCTCTATCATGAGTTGCACCACAAGTTTCTGGTGTCTCATGTCGTTCAGCGTGGTCAGGGCATTCTGCTCCGGGGGTTGCATCAGCGTTGGGCCGAAGACGATGCCCAAGTTCTCCGAATTCATGAAGTTGTCCTTCTCGAATGTTGTTACCCTAGAATGTGATGAAAGGAAAGCTTTGAGACAAGGATCTAGTGCAGTATTTTTCAAAGCGTGGTATCACTCGTGGCATGCACAGAAAAAAAAAATCCCTGCATAGCCCAAACTCCAACCCTATTTAACCCTTAAACACAAGGCTTTTGTATTTAAGCTTTTTTCAACAGTTACTGTACTTAGGTATAATTTTGAAATTATGTGCGATACATTTGAACTGAATCATTATTTCAGTACAGTTGTTTTATTTTCCTATACTAAAGCTCAGTTTAAAATGTGTTTTTTTTTTTTTAGGAAGAAAACCGTTATTGATGAACACTTAGGCCTACTATGCTACTGTATATGAATGTTGGTCATGATAGTGTCAGTTGGTGAGTATTTTTGGTGGTGTGGTACTTGGTGTAAAAATTGGAGAAGCACTGAAATTAACGTACATTGCATGACACAAACAGACTTCTATTCATTTTGGGATGGCAATGACGCTAAATGGCAAAAAGAAAGCAAGCTACAGTTGAATCTACAAAGTCAAACTACCTGAAATCCTACAGCTGGGGTGTCAAATTCATTTTTGTCGTGGGCCAGATTTTAGTTACAGTTTCCCTTGAAGGGCCGTTATGACTGAAACCATATAAAGAAGTCAAGGATAACGGTTTATTCACCTATTGTTTAAGTTACTGTAATGAGGGGTTTGGTAACAAGATAATGCTTAGTAAAAAAAATAAAATACCCTTCATTATTTTCTACGGTGCCATTTGTGTGTTTGACTTTGGAGATTGCACTGCGGTACAATGATTTCATTTTAGTTTTAGTCTTAGTTTTTCTGCATTATGTTGAGAGACAATGTCTTTTGCGTCCCACCTCTTGAGGTGAGCCATCAGGTAGCGTAAGGTCTCATAGTGAGCGGGGGGAAGCTGCAGCAAACCCTCGTGGACGGCCTCCAGTCTGCATTCAGCATTTGGAATTTCTGCGGAAATATAATTCTCATGTTTAAAAGAATCAAAGCAACGTCAAGAAGCAGTGGCGGGAGAAGCGGGTTATGCTTACTTGCGGCCTGAATGAATTTGGGGTACAGGTCAAAGGTAATGACGGGGATGGGGAGGTCCCTCAAGTAGAGCTTCAGAGCACCAGCAATGATGTTGATGTCTGCATAGGCACTGGCACTGATGTCAGCCTTTTCACCATCTGCTGACAACAATGCACACGATGTTTTGGAGGCCATTGAAGCCCACACAATAATCAGCATTCCATGTCAAATTTTATGATCAGATTTCAAACCATTAAGCTTTTAGCTTCGCCAGCAACAGGCTATAATATATTAGTGTTTGTCAACTTTCTTGAGGCAATTTTCTCACAAAAAATATCACGATTAAAAGAATGATCTCATCTTATTTTTCTCACGAATGTGAAATGCGAGCCTATTAAATTGAACAAAAAGCTGAGCCTTATTATATTTTATGAGTGGCAACAGGTGGACAGACTGGTTTGTTGTACTTTCTGTGTGAAATGATTTGTTTGAATAACTTCGATGATTGGAGTGTACAGCTTAATGAACCCTTTCGGGGACAGCGGTTACTACAGTGGACAGTTTATCGTGTTATCGGGTTACAGGGTGCATGTAAGGGTTAAAACCAAAAGTCATTTTAATATTATATTAGGAACAATCACAATAATTTGTGAGTAGAAATTAAGTCGGTACTGGCCCTTTAATCACCACCTCAGAAGTGTTTAATGAATTTGTATGCATTTAATTTGAACTGAACTCCTACATATACGTATATATGTATATTAACACAATAACAACAACACAGTACAGTCATTGTATGCAAAATGTTGTACTTAATTTGATTTCCCCTTATTTGTCTTCCCCCCCCCCCACTACCTATTTTTATCTTCTCTGTCATATTTCCAAGCAAACTACCAAAACCTGATAGCTGTTTGCTGCGAAAGTAAGTTTTTCAACTTGCTGAAAATGCAATGTAAAAATTTGAGACATTTAAAGAATTTCACCCATGGGAACGTTGTACACGTTATTCAGTCAGCGTTAAACGTCTTTGTTCGAGACGGTGTGAAAACAAACCTCTGTCAAAGGCGAGTCTCACATCCTCGATGTGCTCCGAGAAGCCAGACACTCTGTAAAGACCTTCAGATTTCAGACCTGCAACAACCATTGGGAGGGTGTAACACATCTGTAGATGCGGCACACGTGTAAATACGCTCTTCACTATCTTACCTCGGAGTTCGATCTCTCGAATGCAGAGATCTACCACCATGGGCCTCGGGGTGTTGTGGGCCTTGACCAGCGTGGTGAGGTCACAGCTGAACACTTTCTTTATCCGCCGCAGGTCCGGTTGGCAGTCTCTGGGAACCAGTTTAGAGCACTGTTTGTGTACATTCAGCCCGCAATCTAGAGGAAGGAGATAAAGAAAGGGCCATCAGCCTTGTACAGATGATAACACAAACACAGCGGCGGCATGAAGACCAAGTGAAAGTGACGTGCGCTGTCACACCGCACGGCCGCAGCTCCTGCTCTCTCTCGCTTCACCATGCGATAAAAACAAACACGACAGCGGGAAGACAGTGTCGCTACAAGTAGAGTGTCTCTGAGCTGTCTGAGTACAGGTTTGAAGGGTAAAAAAAATGCCTCGTCCCTTCGCAGGGATGCATCAGAGGATAAATGGACGGGTTTCCAAAAGCACATGAGGTCTGATGATACAGGATTGTGCCCCAGGCTTATCAGCATGAAAAACGTGTCAACAACAAACACTGTGTTTTGGGGGAAAGCCGCTAGGTCTTGACTTCTGTCTGAGTTCCCAATAGGAAACCTTGTGATCTGTTATTTTTAGTTCCGTTTGACCTGTCAACAACCTTTTGGGTTTACATAAGTCACATCGCATTAAAATGAACATTTACGGATTTCAGTCTGTGGAATTCTATTTTATCAGACCAGAACAGATCAGTAACATACTTCAGTGAGCAAAGTGGTTGCCAGTCAATCGCATGGCGCTAATCGAAAAACAATCATTCACAGTCAGAGTCACGGCTGTGGACAATTTAAAGTCTTCAAATGAAGGTGGAGTTTGCAATTTAAAAAGAAAAATCAATTCCTCGTTTTTTGTTAAAACTGTCAGGATGAGCTGACAGAAGCAGATTGGAAAAATAATCTGTGGGGAAAAAAAAACGTCCCTCTAATTTGATTTTTAAGAAACCAACGCCCCTGAAGAAAAACAACCAATCACAGGCAGAATGCGTGACTGACAAGAAGAAAATTATTTTTGTTCACTTGTGAGCACAGCAGCCTCACACATTATTAGACTGTTACTTGTTACATTGGCCTTGAGGAGCTTTGCTGAAACCTTTGTGCAATATCCAACTCCGGTTTGCAACAAAAGTTAAAAAGAAAGAAATATACGCTGCGACAAAAACAAGTCTTTCTGAAGTAAGGAAGCCACAGGCAGCTAAGAGGATTCTGAACAGATGCAGAATTCGCAACATTTTTTTACATGACAGACAAATTTACCACTAATTATAAATCTCAAGAAAATAAAACTTCAAACAGACAACACTGAGTGTGTTAGTGACACACCATTATGAATAAGTCATGCGACCAGCATATCAGCCGTGGCTGATGGTTTGCTTGCAGTGCCATATAATGCAGGTCAGTAAGGGGCGTGACTTTGGACAGAGACTCAAGGGGGAAGGGATTAGTGAAGTGAGGCCACGTTAAAATCTTGCAAGCAGTTTTAAAACTGCAAAATCCCCCTTTGACCAAAGAAACATTTTTTTGGTATGTGGGAGGAAGGGGCAGTAACATACATTATTTTTAATTATCATTATTGATGTGAGTTCCCCAGAAACTATATTCTAAAGATCTTAACATGATTTTGGCGCTTTTAAAATGGATGGATAATTCAGGTGAGATGAACACACATGTTGCTACGAATGTGCTAACAAATTTTGCTGTCATGACAATGAATAAATGTGCTGATCTCGAAAGCTCAAAAAACATGGCCACTGTTGGATGAAAGTTGGATGAAAGCGCAATTAGGATGCAGTTTCAATAAAAATAAAAAACAATAAATTATTACAAGAGAGACGTGAAGAACAGGGCCCATTATTTTTTTATATTTTTTTCATCAAAGGACATCCGGGTTGTTATCAGCGCAAAGTTCAAAAATCATCAACTGTGATGGTATGGGAGTGTGTTGTGGCCTATGTTATTATGATACCATTAACCCTGAAAAGTATATAAAGGTTGTGGGGCAACATACGTGGCCATCAGAGCAACGTCTTTTTCAAGGATGTCCTTGCTCATGACAGCAAGGGAATGTCAAGCCTTATTCTGGATGTGTTACCAAAGTGTGGCTTCGTAGTAAATGAGTGCGAGTACTGTACTGGCCTGCGAGAATCCCAGACCCGTCTCTTATTGAAAATGTGTGGCACGTTATTAATCCCAAAATACGACAACTGAGACCACGGACTGATGAGCAACTGAAATTGTAAATGAAGTGTCCAAGTGTCCACTTCACACTTGCCAACTTTACATCATCCGCAAGTGGAGAGCTTCTTGCAGCTCCTTGTAAACATGCTTCGAGCTCGTCAATCTACTGCATGGACTCCAGCGAGTCGGCTCTGTCATGTAGACCGTGCACCTCTCCTGAACTGAATTCAAAGGGAAGAAGCGGCTTCCATTGGCTGGGAAACTTGTTGGCTGTGTTCACTCCCACAACGGCGCAAATGCCCATTTCTACCTGCGTGCGTCTATGGAAATACCAAACAAAAGAAAAATCTATCCAGGCGCATGCACATTTCTTTGCTCTAGACTTGCGCTGGGCATCAACATTTTTCTCGACTTATGCTGGGCACGAAAATAGGTCCCTTAGTATTTTCAGATACCCAACGCACATTGAGTGAGGTTGAAAAGGAACGATTATGTAACACAATGGCAAAATGGCATGCTCCCGTCAGAGGTTTTTGGGACCGTGTTCAAGGCATCAAATTCAGTGAGTCAATATTAAAAAAAAAAAAAAAAAACGCTCAGATTTATCTGTCTTGAAATATCTTGTCTTGGTTGTGTTTTCAATTCAATATAGGCTGAAAAGGATTTGCAATTCATTGTACAGTATTCTGTTTTTATTCATTTTTACATAATGTCCCAACTTCATTGGCGTTGGGGTTTATTTTTGTCTTGTGAAACCCAAGAACAGCAAGACATTCTTTGTTTAGTGAGTGAGTGCTCCACTATGGATTTACCTGAGCAGCGGACACCTTGGGCAATCAGGCCCCACATGAAGTTGGCACAGTACTCGCACCAGTGTGGCCCTCGAAAGGTGTGTACCTGTGGGTGGGGACCCCATGATTATAGGCATGTAAACACACATTAAGGCATTGCATCTCCATGCCCAAGCTGGAGTTCAAGAACTCTTTTGATGGGCTGCACAGAGCTTACTTTGAGAGGGGACCCCTCGTGGTTGAAAGGAGAGCATGTGTACATAAGAGGAAGATTAAAGGATTTACGATTATGTGTCTGGCATCTGCTGCAAGGTAATCAGATACATGGACGTAAATCTGCAAGCCCAAGTAACATATGTGCATCCCAAAACATTGCAAGGATGACACCTGTGCGTAGTCAAACTCACGCACACCTTCAATATGTGGGAAGAATATAGCGGACATATGGCAGATGTTCCGGGATTTGGTTTTGTTCTTTTTTCCAAGCCAAAAATTGGAGGCCATTAGAACTTTGAAACTTGATATACATTCTCAAAAGTGGACTTAAAACTCATCTGTCTATACACAAGGGTGAGTGCTAGCAACTATAGTACAGGACATAAAATTGACAGTTATTTTATTTGGAGTCAATAGACTAAAACAAAGAGCTTGAAATCAATGATGTTCAATGTGCTCCGCTGTTAATGGGTTGCGCTCAGCTCTGTCCATTAGTTACACATATTGGGCAAGAAGTCAGCTGTGTGCGCTCCCATTAAAACGACACATGGCACACACAACACTTCAGAGGGTCATGTAAAATGTTGCAATATCTGTATTTACAGTAAAAATGGACATTGTTCAGAAAAAAAAATAAAACATAAATCGGCTCACCTTGAAGTTGTGGATCTTCTCATAGGAGCACTGCTTCTCCGGGGTGTCTTTCAAGGCGCTGTGCCGCACCAGAGAGGACGAGATCTGTGGACAGGAGGCCAACAGTTTGAGAGGCTTCCACAAAAGTGTCCCTTTGCTCCCCAGTTTGACTCCCAGCGCAAAAGCCAACAGTTCCTGTCGCTTCCGCTCTTGTCTTTTCGCCTTGTGGTTGATCAGCTCCCCCGCTAAACCTCCATGGTTATTTTCAGCCTCTATCTCGGACTGTTCCCACAGACCCTCCATCTCCTCCAGAGGAAGATGCGGAAGGGAGCTGGTGTCGGCCCGGTGAACAAGTCCAATCCGCTCACTCCCCTCTCAGTTTGGAGGGCGACTGATGACTGATGGCGAGGGGACGGCTCCAATTCTGGCCTTAGAGAGTGTCAGCAGGGAGGGAGACGAGCAGGGGCAACAAGACGGGTGATGGGTGGCCTGAGGGCTGGAGTGTGCCTCGCACAATGGCCCTCTTTCACACGCCCAGAAAGGAGCGAGAGAGAGAACAGGCTCTATGGTGGGGAGGGGCTGTGGAGGGGGTGTTGCTGTCAGGACTGTTTCACACAGCTCAACAGCTCTGTAAAGCAGGATCAATAGTGCAGACACCCTCTTTATATCACAGAGCACTCTCACATTAGCTCACTGCCTTCCGGACACACTCCACTCCACTTAGCTGTAGATTCAAATGCCAGCAGCACGCGGAGAGCCAAGCAAGGCCTCCTAAATGTGTCACTTACTGCCTCTAAAACAGACCCCAAGATTATTGGACCGGACAAATGAAGAGTTTCGTTCCTCATCAGCGGAAGAGATCATGACCTCCATCTTTTGTCAGCTAGCTGGTGGAATTCCCCGAGCCTGATACCCAAATGCGGCCTTCCAGAAACAGCGGCAAACGACTTCCTCAACTCACAAACAAAACTCATAGAGGAGTGGTAGAGCCAGACTCATAACTACGGGTGGTGGGTGGATTACTGCCATAATCCTGACATAGGGAATAATCCTAGAGTGCTCAAATCCATGTAAAAGAGCAAAGGAAGCTCATTTGCCGCTCTGCAGCCAGACTGTGGTTTACCAGTGGGGGGCTGTTGCTACGGTCAAGATGAATTTGTGCACGGCAGCAAGTACTTACCGGGGCAAGAAGTCTGTCAACTGCCCTTATTGTCATTCCATTACAGTACAGGAGAGCATATGATATTTTAAATTTGTATTATTATTGTGTGGCCCGATCAATACAGGAGAACAAAACTAATTTACACTCCATAAAGTAATAAAAAAACATGCGAAAAAGCTAAACTGCGCTACAAAAACACACCAATTAACAGAGTAGAAACTCTAAAGTCAAACATAATTGACTGCAAATAGCATTAGTTGACTGTCAAGGTTCTTATTTCAAATTTAATGTTCACTCAGGAAATACATTATTCATTTGTTTTGGGCTTAAACTATTGCCATTTAAAAAAAAAAACTCCACGTAACACGAAGTAAATGTCACACAAGTGACCATAAACAAAAGTTCAGAAAATATTTTTAAAAATATGAAAGAAATTACAACCGCTCACCAGCTGAAGACAGCTAACACATAAGGGAAAGGAACAGGACTAACTGCTTGTTGGAAAGCTTTTCTGGTCATTTCCGAGCATTCGTTGGCCATTCTGCTTTTCACGCCATGATACTTATATAAACATCCGGTCAGTAACATATTTGAGTATGCAAATATTTTCCATGAATTGATCATATATTGTACATGTTGGCCATTTTCAAGTGTCATTACATGTTCTGGTGACAGGTTTCATATTTGCATTCCTGGGACCATTCTGTGGTGGCATCACAAACAAAACAGGCAGACAAAAGCAGAACACTTGGGGTAGTTAATCCTTTGGATGCATATCGAAGTGAAGTCTCGCAGGATTTGTTGACGTATCACATGACACCGTGCCTGATGATGGTTTAAACTCTTTGACTTTTGAGAAATATTTTTCGAGGGGTTCTGGTTGAGTTGCAAATTGACTTTGGAGTTTCCACAGCGATTTTTTTTTTCATTTGTCCAGATTCCTTGACTAAAGTTAAAGCACCACTGCAAAGACCGACGTGACAGGTGAGGATATTTGCCATTGTGGGTGACATTCTTTTGAGAAGACCTACGCATACCAGAGGATACTATTTAGCATCCAAGTCAGAAGGGACAGATGAGAAATATACCACTCGGAGATATTTTAGCCTCAAGAGGGGAGGGGGGGGGGGGGGGGCAGACGAGGGCTGAGCTTTTCTGCAGGCAGATGGCCTCTTGTCTGGCCAAAGAAAAAGCAGGGAAGAAAAGGACAAAAGGTGGTCACACACAACAAGCTCCGCTTTCTTTTGGAATGGCTTGACTCCTTTATTACTCGTCTTGGAGGAGGCACAGCTAAGTGGACTCCTGTGAGTTAGAGTTTGCCATCGTGGCGTAACAACAAAGTGGTCACTGATACATCCAGACAACGGGATGCACCCCCCCGCCCTCCTCCCCCGACCCCTTACACATCCGAGACAAAAACAGCACCAACAAATCACAAATAGACACTGTGAAGAAACTCAGAGCGAGACAAAGTTGTTACACTCTTGGAAAAATGAAAGAAACAGCCACTCTTGTTCACCCATAGGAGAATGGACATTAAACTCCAATTTTGGCGGCGTTAGTGGCTCGAACTAAGAGGTTGACTCGCTAAAAACGTCCTCACACGTTTGGAGAAATCGAACTTATTTTGGAGATTTTCGCGTGATAACATTCGGGCTATTTACTGACAGAGCGCGTCATTATCTGAACAAACAACAGAGCCACTACTGTGAAAACCATTACAGGGCAAGTAACCAGACCAGCCTGACCGGCACCTCACTGCTATTCAGCCTGTCAGAGTGGTGAGGATCAGGAGGAATGTGGTAGAGGTTTAACCACATTCAGCATGCAAAAGGAATCTAACTGAGGAGATAAACCTACAGGCCGAGTTCCCCTTTCGGCCTCTGGAAAGCGTTTTGGTTGCCCGAAGAGCCGCAGCAATGTGGAGGTACATGAAAAGGGTGAATACGTGCACATATTGGCCATACAGTGAAGCCACTGTGCAACTGAAGCCTCGGGGCGTGGCTGTGAGAACGGTAAACATGAAGGTCAAAAAGACTTTTCCACACTCAAGCCATCAGAGGAGAGCTGTGCTTTTTGGAGAAATCCAATCAGGCAAAAAAACAAAAACAAACAAAAAAAAAACATTTGGTGCAAACATCACCAAACAGTTCAGATCCTTGTGTGCAGTATGGAAAAAAAGATCCAAAGGAACTGCCGACATGCTCGAAATGTACACAGGAGGACTTTCAGGACATTAAACATTGATTGCTGTGACTCAAATGGCCATTGACGATTGTTGGCTGGTGTCCTTAAAAGAAACACACCAAGGCATTGTACATCAATTGATGACATGTTGATCGATGGCCATTTGCTGTATTAATGTCTTGCGTGTCGGGTTACAATGAGCAAAGCGATGACTGATGCTGACACCACAGCTGATGCTCATGCTCACAGAGTTGTCATGTGTCTGTCAATGACAAAATCCCACAAAGGGATTAAAGCTCACCACGCACCGATGATTGACTCATTAAATGTCATTCATTTTTTTTTGGGAGAAATAATGTGGTGTGAATCAAAGAAACACCAACCGCCAATATCGAGCACATACATTATGATTGCCCTCTAGTGGAAGCTCTTCCAAAGAGAAGGACAGCCAACTTCCTTGCTTCTCAGTGGAAAGACATTCACAGACTATGACGGAACTGCTCTGCAACGGCGGTGAAAACAATGTGCTTTTTTGTCTCGGCGTGGATCAGTATGTCTGATATGCATGTCAGGGAGAGCAAAGGCCTCCCGTCCTCTCGGTCATCATTACCTTTCAGAGGAGGCAATGAAGCATGGCAACAGTGAACACACCCGGAGGCAGCTTAGCTGATAATGTGCACTCAACTCCCAGGACAACGTGCCCTCTAAAACGGCTCTTGTGCCACTGTAAAAATGTTCAGTAGGGCGAAAGCCGATCAAAATCACACGATCACTCTGGGTCTGTTAAAATGCCCACCTCATAGATATCCATCCATCCATCCATTTTCTGATCCGCTTATCATCACAAGGGTCGCGGGGTGTGCTGGAGCCGATCCCCGCTGTCATTGGACAGTAGGTGGGGGATACCCTGAACTGGTTGCCAGCCAATCATAGGGCACACACAGACAAAGAAACCATCCGTGCTCACACTCACACCGAAGGACAATTTAGAGTGTTCCAATAACCTGCCAAGCATGTTTTCAGAATGTAGGAGGAAACCGGAGTACCCGGAGAAAACCCACGCAGGCACGGGGGGAGAACATGCAAACTCCACACAGGAAGGCCGGATCCAGAATTGAACCTTGGACCTCTGAACTGTGAGGCCGACGCAGCAACCAGTCAACCACCGGGCTCCCCACAGATACACAGATCGCACTGTATTCACGAAAAGAACAAAGTTTGGGACTAAGTAATGCAATCAGTGAGGTCTGGGATTCGGGAGTTAACGTCCCTTTGATGACAGAATGTGGTTAGTTCAATTACTTTCATAACATATAATCACCCAGAAAATTGTCTCCAACACCACAGACATACCATTCAAAATAAATATGATTCCACAAGATGGATGCAAAAAGTTTCAAAAGTGGACCAGGCAGGGTGATTTGGCCATCTTGAGAGAAAATCAAAGTGAAGTGGATTACCTGCATATGTGCATACAGTTCCTAATTAGATGTATTGCAAAAATGCTGATTTAAATAGGGACAAAACACCTGCATATGTGCAGAATATGTGCTCTTGATGAATTTCATTTTTGATCAAACATTTCTCAATGCATGTATAACAAATCCACTGTCCTTACTCAACTGTATTTATAGAGAATTTTAAAACAGCAATCTCTGTATACAAAGTGCTGTACATGGAGCACATGTGAGACATGTCTACCATCTAGTGGTGATTGGTGATATGACAACTTGAAACTCCAATCGACCCCCGCATATTTGCTGTTTGGCAACCGCGGATTTGCATATTTGCTGTTTTCAAATTTTTTTTTTCATACTTTGGATTTTTCACATTTTTCCCAGGATTTCCCCCCCGCCCCCCAATTTTCATTGAAAACATATTAAATGTTCACCAGCAGCTTTTTGGAGGGATCTGGGTGGGAAATTAATCAAGGGACCACTGACAATGTGGATTATCATTTTATAAGTATTGATGCTTTTTAAAAATATATATATTTTTGTTTGGGGGTGTGCCATGAGATTTGTTTTTGTTCTAATATAAAATGGGTGACTGAAAAAGGTAAATACAGCTCTAGTATAAGCTCCTATAATCTTGAGGTCCTTTCTTGTAACAATTACATTCAGCAAATACTATTTCACTTCATTTGGGTTGAACTCTGGGACATGTCCGTACTGTAAACTGACCTGGTCATCCCTGACAAAGGTGACCCTGCGGGATTCTGTGCATCTGCGGCTCAGCCTGTGCACCATCTTGTCCTTTAGCAGCGAGGTGTAGCCAAGGTGCTCATAGATGGGGTTTGCAGTCATTTTGGCAATATACTCCGCCGCCTTGGTCTCGATGTAGAGAGTGATGAGGGCGTCCGTGACGAGGTCGTGCACGGACTCAAACCTCTTCTCGGCGACAAAGTGCTTCCCATCGTAGAACAGCCTGTAGTTGAGCGTCTGCGGCCCAAATCTACATGGAGACGCATGGTTTGAGCAGTTTGCGTCCAACAGAGACAAGCAAGGCCGGCTGAATGAGTTTATTGACTAAATAAACACGTGGTGGAATTCCTCCCGGATGCATCGTGACATTGCTGGTACCTTAAGGCCAACGTGTGTGTTCCAGGCTGTCTTTGGCTTTCCCTGATCAAGTAGGAACCATCAGCTGCCCTGAGAAGTTCATCTGCATATTCTCGAGAGATCATGCCGTGAAATCTGGGACAAATTATTACATACAGTATTGGATTAAAAAAAAAATCACTTTCCCTCACCCCCCCAAAAAAGAAGTTTTTAGAATTACAGTAATTCAGTTGACACTCACTCTCTGCCATAATATTTGGGCCTGGTCTCCATCTGTGAAACAGAAAGGACATTGTTGCTTGAGCAAGTTCAAGTTTAAGGGCCGAGACATCTGGAGATTGCTGGAACAGATTTAAGGAAGTGCGAGAAAACAGCCATTGATATTGTACTGTCGATGTCAAGTTTTAGAGAATTGAAACGTCTCTTGCACCCATTGAGTGCACATATTGCATGTTCAGTGGACCAACTTTAATGGCTGCCAGAATAGGTAACTGCTATCCTTCTTCAAGGGTAACCAACCAATAAATACTCAGCCATGACAGTTTACCGCTTTAACATTGTAACTGTTGGACATAAAAAGGTCCATCAAGTCCAAAATTTAAGTGAGGGCTCCAAACAAGCAATACGGGAGTAGACAGTTTTAATGAGTTTTGGGTCAACTAAAAATATGAGTAAACAAATGCTGCTTCGAGCCTACCTTTCATTTCAGGGGCTATACTCACCTCTTTGGGACATACGATCCTTTTCGGTCTTGGGGCCTCCTGCTGTAATTGGTACACTGTTAGAGAGACATATGTGTATTTTAATTAAAGCCTGTGAGTGTGCAGTTCAGTGCAAGTTGTAATTACTTAAAAATAGTAGATTGGGGCCCCCAAAAAAGTCATCTATGTACATTTAAAGAGGAGGCATACTAAATTATAAGCTGCTAGACAGCAGCAAGTGTGGCCCAGACGTTATAAAAGAGTGTAAGCTAGAAAAGAGAAAAATAACGAGGCCAAAGTACACCTAAGGGTCGCTGATGGTAAAGTGGTCCACTTGCCTGACTTGTGTGCAGGCAGAGTGGGATCGGTTCCCACTAAGTGACAGTGTGGATGTGAGTGTGAATGGTTGTTTGTCTCTATATGTGCCCTGTGACTGACTGGCGACCAGTTCAGGGTGTAGTCTGCCTTCCGCCCAAGGTCAGCTGCTTTAGGCTCCAGCAACTCCCTCTTCAGGATAAGCGGTGTTGAAAATGGATGGATGGATGGAAGTACACCTAAATCCTCCTTTAAGTACCGTATTTTCCACACTAAAATGCGCACTGCATTAGGAGGCGCACCTTCAATGAATGGCCTATTTTGTAATTTTTTTTTCATACATTGGGCGCACCGCATTATAAGACGCAATCTAGAGTGCATCCACTAGATGGAGCTACGCTCAAGGAAATACCAACAGAACGATCAGATGTCAGTGAAACGTATTTAATAAAGCAGCGACACAGTTCACGTAACCAACAGCAAGTTATAACATTGACTTGTTAATGTTGAACTCTCTTGCCGCTGCTCTATTTCTGTGTTCAACTGCGTAACCGATCGCCTTAAGTTTGAACTCTGCGTTTGGAGCATGTCTCGAGCAAGGAGCCGTTTTGGGGTCGAATTGTTACCGCAAAGACCATACACAAGGCGCATCGGATTTTAAGGCGCACTGTGAGCTTTTCAGAAAATGGAAGACTTTTAGGTGCGCCTTTTAGTGCGGAAAATACGGTACCATTAACTAACCTGTTTTGACACGGCGGTTGTACTTCTTCGCAGTTATTTATATTTGACGATGAAATTAGGTTGAGCTCAATATATTTGACAATAGGGCTGCACGAAATTGTAAAAGAACGCCCGATATGCGTTATGAGTGTTGAATATTCGATACTGCGATGTTTAACATGTACCTAAAGAAATGACATTTTTATTGTCTAATTAAAAACGTTTTTATTGCGGCAATATAAGCAAATGCATATCCATTTGCATCTATCAATACAGCCTCGTAGTTCCTCAACCTTGATGTACACCACCTTTTTAACATCCTTTACACCTTTAACAAAACCGACAAAGACTCTGTTCAGCAACCGCAAGCAAAGCTGCGGCAAATAAGTCTCTCGGTGAGGCTGAGCCCGCCCGTTTTGTTACAGCAGATTCAGCTGGAAGGTAAACAAGCTTCCTCACAGTGTGTATTTTCATGTTTTTTTGGTTTTTCATGTCAAACTGGATTCAGATCTGGATATCATTCCATCCCTTTGACACAGTAAATGCCGATGGGACCACAGCGGGATAAAACATAATCATTAGAAAACTATGCAGTCATTTAATATATGGAAAACAAATACAAAAAGAAATTGCGACGATGTGTCACAGTTTCCATTTGCACTCATGTTGCTCCCCCAATTGAAATGATTGGAGTCACATCAAATATGGGAAGAGTGGATCCATTTCCTGCCACAAGGCGAAAATACTGGATGCTGAAGTGGGCGTTATGAGGATGTTCAGAGCCTCTTCACAGAGAGAAAATCGTATTTTCTCCAGGGAGGGTAACCTGTTTTACTCACGCTAAGCTTTGGCATGTGCTGCGTGGGTGATGTCCCGTACTTGCGTTTATGTTGCTCGGCGTTAAGAAAGCCTCATTTGAAATGCATGTTTTTCATTCATTTGTTTCTGAAAATGAGAAGATTTGGCTGCGTTCCACATGGCTGTGTTTTAGAAAACACGTATTACCCTTACTACTAAAAATGTATGAGATTTACATCACGGTTTAGTTACACCCATATTGGAAGAGCATGTGGATGGTTTACAAATGACAAATACACTTTCCGCATGCAGGGCAAATTCATTATTAATCGTTATACTCACAGTAGGACTTCCATATTGGTGGTTGGTAATCCTCAGGGTCTGTAAAAAAAAAAAAAACCATAAAATGCGAAGCAGGTCACTGTGCCGCTCTCAACAGTGTGAATATAATTCTCATTAGCATTTCTGCATCAAGGACAATCAATAGATGTCCGCTGGCTTTGTTGAACACCATTTCAATGGCACTCGCCCACAGGGTACAGAAATTATGTTGCTAATATGAGGGCATTCAATGATACAGGAACAAAGTCCTCCGAACATCTGATATAAATGATCAGTTATTTAGTTTTATACCAAGTACCACCTTAACAGTTACTTAGCTATCCTATATCGCCATCTTTCCCGATCAACATTAAAATACAGTAACGTAGTCAGCCAAACTGTTCATCAAAAAACAAAGGAAGTTTCATTCCTGAAAAGCAGATTTAATATTATTGTAAGCCACTGTAACATTCTAAACGGTTTGAACTTTCACACTGCACTCAAATATCGTAAAATAAAAAAAATAATTAACTGTATTTAATGATTTAATTCCTAAAGGTTAAATAAAATTATACGTAAATAAAATAAACAACAATTTAGCAAAACTTAAACCCCAACTATTTTTTAAAGACTAAATACAAATATATTGAACTAAAAACTTAAATACGGCAAACTATTCTTGGGCAGTGATTCCTTCACGCACCAAGAATGATACAAGTGCCACAATATGCCTCCGCCAGTAAGAAAAAAAAACAACAAAAAAAAAACACCTACCTACTTCATTGCAGCAGCTACAAGAAAAGCAATAACTTGTGATGAAAATTAACTTAATTGTCAGCAACTTATTGCATGATGCAACTCTTTAACTTTGAACACACCCTTGTTGACAAAACCACACGGAGCATTTGAGAGTAATATCATTGAGCCGCTGGAGGATTGGCTACGTGCATAAAGATAATGACTCATATCAATCCAGAGGGCGTGCATTCTTTTGCCCTCCACACCCTTCGGGCCTGAGGCGGTGAAATGAAACACACCTGAGCGCTCGAGGGGATTAATATAATGTCAACCAGTAAGCACTTGTCGGATGTGGCTACTGTGGAACAGGCTGTAAAATATTATTATCAACCTCGAACTGCGTCACCAACTCCCTCCGTGTCTTATTTAACGCGGTGCACATATTTTTTTTTTCATTACTCTTTGCTTTCTCATGCTGTTTGCTCTTCTATTGCTTGACGACAACATTATGGCATGAGCCTAAAAGCTCGTTGCAGTTTCTTGTCATGAGAGAAGGACTGAGCTTGAAAGAATGCTGGTCCACGGGGGGTGCTGGAGCCCATCCCAGCTGTCTTCAGGCAGTAGGCAGGGGACACCCTGAACCGGTTGCCAACCAATCGTAGGGCACACATAGACGAACAACCATCCGCGCTCACACTCACACCTAGGGACAATTTTGAATGTTCAATTAGCCTGCCATGCATGTTTTTGGAATGTGGGAGGAAATCCGGAGTACCCGGAGAAAACCCACACAGGCCCAGGGAGAACATGCAAACTACATAGAGGGAGGCCGGAGCTGGGATTGAACCCGGTACCTCTGCACTGTGAGGTTGACGCGCTAACCACTGGCCCACGGGCCGCTTGTAATTTTCTTGTTTATTTTTTTTAAACTGCAAGGCGGGCCTTGGTAGGTTCCTCACCACCGATCTAAAAGATAAAGAAATGACTATAACAACGAACACAAATGAATCACCATTACATTGTGTTTGCAGATATGTTGCAGAGGACACTGCTCTATCACTGATCCTGCGTCACTGGGCATAGCACTTGCAGCCCGAAAGATTTATTTCACTGCAGCTTGTTCAAAAAAAAAAACTGACTGAATCTAGTTGCATTCCAAATACTTTCTTCTAATGGAATTCTTCAAACCCACCAACCCGGTTTCTTCTCATTCTGCAGCATGGGATCACACCAACATTCCGCTACACACACGCATTGACACACATGCAGATGCACACTCAAGTAAATACGCGTAAACATGCACAGATGATGCAAATATCCGCAAAACATCAAACGGAGTTTCAGACTGCCTGATGATGTGGGAGAAAGCAGGACGGCACAGCTGGAGGCCTTCCCCCACCCGACCCCCCTCAAAGAGAATGTAATTAGACGCATCGCCTCGAGTTCTTCACCAGTCAAAGGCACTCATTAAAACAATAATTAGGTTTACTCGTGTGTCAAAGAGCATATTTGATGAATGAAGACCAACTGCCTCATACAGCATGCGTTGTTGTGACCTGTGGGTATACACACATTTTAAGGGCAGCTATGGTATGTGATACACAAGTCCGCCCCCCCCCCCAAAAATAAATAAAAAAGATCGTGGAAAATTTATTTGAGTGGGTCAATTAAAAAAAATGTACAATGTTTACATTAAGAGTGAAATATTTAAGCAGCACGGTGGTCAACTGGTTTGCAGGCTCCGATTCCGGGCTCTGGTCTCCCTGTGTGGAGTTTGAATGTTCTCCCCATACCTGTGTGGGTTTTCACCGGGTACTCCGGCTTCCTCTCACATTCCAAAAACATGCATGGCAGGTTGATGGAACACTCTAAATTGTCCCTAGGTGTGATTGTCGGCATGAATGGTTGTTCAGGGTGTCTCCCAAGACTTACAATGCGATTTAATGCAAATGTACTGGGCCATTGTGGGAAAAAAATATATATACTGTCTGAGGCACACACCCGCACACCAAGGAATTGATTACAGCACATTTACCGATGCGCTCCAGTAGAAAAACAGCAATGCTGTATCAGGTTTTGAGGCTCCACATACAATTTACTATACTGTATAATACTTTTCATTGAACCATAAAACCAAGGGGCAATTGTCACGGACGAAAAGGATTGCCACAAAGACAAGAAATTGGTGAGAAAAGTGGAGAGAGTAAAGGTATTTTAGAGGCTGTTGGCAGTTTGGAAAGACTCAAGCGACTGGTACATGTGAAATTCTGAACGTATTGTAATTGAATAGATGATGAAGTCAGCATGATGTCAGTGCTATGTGACAAAACGTTGCACAGCTGCATTTTTACTGTATTTCAGAAAGTAAATCAACCACCACCATTGGTTAGGCATTGAATCAATGCCTTTTTTCCTCTCAATCAGTCAGCAGTGTCACGGCCAAGTCACAAACAAACCATAGTAGAAGCCATGGCATTGGCCAAGAAAAAAAAAAAGAACTATTTGCATTGCATAGCTGATAAAACATTGCCTTTTTCATATTGGCCTTGGAGGAAGGATGTGTCCTTTTAATGAAACTGAAGATTTAGAATGCTAACCTTCATCATCATCATCATCGTGTTGGGAAGTGGCCGACATGAGGGGCAATATTAATTATTTCCTTTTCAACCCCCCAAAATGGACCAACATTATCTAGGAACTATTGTTGCGCAACAACCGATTATATAAATAAGCCATTCACCATATTTTCCGTGTACTTGGTTTGACGCTTGGCATAATTTCAAACATACGCAGGGCATTTACTCCAGGAGCCCAACAAATCATTTATTGCTAAATTGCTTAGCCTTTAAAGCTGGGCATGTAAAAAAAAAAAAGAAAAATCACTTTCTCAGATGTCAGTGTTCAAAATGGTGCTACGAGGTCATATAATGTTTGTTATTAGCCATGCAATGAAAGGAATGTGTCCAGTCATACTGCAAGGTACGGTGTTATCGTTTCCCTCATGGACGCTGTGTTCTTTCTTGCACAGCTCACATCACACTGTAAGCTCATAAATTCATGTGACTGTTACCAAGCTGGAGAAGGGGTTTAAGGAACCACCCAAGAGGAAGGAGAAGAACAAGGGTATTGTTGCTATCCCTCTGTGTGTGTGTGTGTGTGTGTGTGTGTGTGTGTGTGTGTGTGTGTGTGTGTGTGTGTGTGTGTGTGTGTGTCAGCAGTAGGCAGACCATCTGTGTCTGATGACCCCAGTCCAAAAAAAAAAAAAACTGATGCAACGTTGCCTTGGTGTAGATTAGAGCCAGCAAGGTACAATGCGCCTCAGTGGAGCAGTCACGTTTCGATAGCCTCGGTGATGCTGTAAAACACCATCGCCAAATCACCGTAGGTGTCATCTACAAATTCAGTTTCACACGATCCTCACTGGAAAGGAGGACAAATGTAAGTAGTGGAAAGACTTTTGAGGTGAACAGTGGTCGTTATCAGAAACATGTGCTGGGTGGTGTGGAGCAGAGACCCTTAGCTTTCATTCCATCTCCTGAAACTCTGCTGTCATTCACATCCTGAAGCTTAAGGTATACTTGTGGGTTTTTTTTTCTTTAATTCGTCGTATACTGTAATTTCTCTCTTGAAAGCCATATGGGAAATAAAGCATTGTTCCTAGTGTACATGCTCCTGCTTGTACTTATGCCAACAATGTGTTTTTGACATTTGGATTTTTTCACCTTTAAATAAGTAACGACAGCTCAGCTAAGGCTGTATCTATTGTGTTCATATTGCCTCGCACTGTATTGTTCGCCTATAGACAAGGTAGAGCGTTTTATTTATCCGTACTCACAACGTGCTGGCGAAGCGAGAGTGAGCCAAAAAGCACTTCCTTTGCAGCCAAAAAACAGACGGCCTGATTTGGGTCAGCAAACAGCAACAGCCAGGATTCAGTTTGCCGCGTGGTGGAGATTATTCAAATGTTGAGTCTGCCTGCCAAAAAGCTCTACTTGAAAATAATCATACCCTTGTGACAACCACTCCATCCCTGGCGGCGGTGCAGCTAGTAACCTCTGATAATTACGCCGAGTAGTAATGACAGCCCTCCCAATGCCATCGAAAAGAAAAGTGTTTCCTCTTCAAGCAAGCAAGGCACCAGTCAAAGCGTACCGTGTATAGAAGTGGCTGCTTTCTGAGGCCCACACATAAAATAAAATAATGCTGTGTGAAACATGTGGTTATACCTCAGGCTTTGTCAACACGCTATGACTGATTGTCCCTCTCACTGGGCAGCACTTCAGGAAAAAGTGACTCTGCCTGGGCCAAAATTGTTGTTTCAATATACAGTGGAGCCTCGCTGTTTGCAGGGGATAGGAAACGGGCCAGCCGACGAATAGTGAAAATCCGTGCATAGTTGATGCTCATTGAAATGCACTAGGGGAAACCCCAACCCCCCTAAAAATCATTCCAAAAAAACCCCTAAAAAAATAATCATACACATTTTGCACTGAAAATGTGGCGGAAATGGCTAAAAAAAGCCAAAAGGGAAAAAAAATATAGAAGAAAAATTGGGAAAAAAATCTGAGATGAACCATGAGGGTGCAGGGATCCCCTACTGAAGGAACCTTGGTCAAACTGAAACATTTGCAAACTCAGGTAATGATTCCTATTGAAATGAATGGAAACGGAATTAATCCGTTTCAGCCGCGGAACGATATTAGTACTGTATGATTTGGAAAGCGAGATGCATTGGATCTGGTGGCCATTTTGGTACAGCAGTATCCATAATGAATGTAAACAAGAATATGAAGTACTGCGCCGTAAAATGCAACAATGGGAAGTGGATTTACAGGGAAATGTTAGCCCATTGCGAACGCTATCATCAGCCAGCTCACGTACTGTGGCTGAAGGTGGTTTGTTTAGCGATTATTACCATCTTGTTTTCAACAGTAATACGTTTTGACATCCACTATCAGTAACAGTTTTCAGTGTCTCTGGAGCCATACTTTGGGGTTAATTTAGCAAAAAAAAAAAACCCAAAAAACAAAGACACCTTTAATGTGTTACACGGCACGATAAAAGCACAAATGTGTATTCAATAGACATGGCGAGATTGTTTATGTACCGAAAATTGTGCATGAACCAAGCTTATATTTCTTTGAAAATTTGGTTCATAAACCTAATCAGTTTGCATCCGGATCATTCATAACTAAATGAGGTTCACTATGCACATTTTTGCCTCGCTTCAATGAAATTAGGGTTGCACAGAGGCCCAGGGCCAGTGTACCGCCGTGTCGGGCCACTATCGACTGTGAGTTGCTGTTCCAAACGGGCCACAAGTCACCGAACATTTTTGGCTGCTGAAAATCGCGCAAAAGTGCATTATCAGATTCAGACCAAAACACTTTTATCGCCGAAACAACCCATCTGAAAGGGGATATTGTCATGGCACAAGACACAAATGCAACTGGTGCACACATACAGAGGCATGAATCTTAGAGGTGTTTCTAATCATTTGGCGACATTATTAAGAAACATCAGGAATCAAGGGGGGATGCAGTACAGTTGTACACCACTGTCAGCTTCAACCACAATAACCTTCTATTGAAATTGAACATTTTTAATTATGTAAATTCAGATATTTGGACACAGGTCTTATATTGGATATCATTGGAACGTAGACACACGTGGACCTCAATTTGTGACTTGAACACACATTCAGAGTAAAACTGTACAGTACATTATTACATTCAGGTAAGTGCGATAGCGAAGACTGACACTTTCGCAGTTAGCATGCCAAATAAAAAGAAAGAAATGAATTAAAATAAGATATTGTACTGTAAGAGAAGATGATGGGATGAATCCCATTATCAATACCTTTCTTGAATTCTTAATATACAGTATGAGGTGCTGTACGACAGTGCTCTCAAGATAGAAAAAGTGAAAAACATTTTGCTGCTAAACTAAACCTCAATGAATTCAAACATGACTAGATTATATAAGAAGCCCTGTGTCACTGCATTGTGACATATTTTGGGTTTTGACAACCCCACAGAACTTCCAAACTTGGCGCCGCATGCATGGAAAGTGGACTACACATGCCAAACATGATCCTTCCTTGCAGCCCACCACCAAGTGGAACGGCAAGTAGGAAACTATGGATGTGATTGACAATGGCGTACTGAGATCCCAATTCATATGCACAAATAACACAGTGAGTGATTTTCGTTTGCAAGAATAAAAACAACGGACTACTGTAACATTTAATATGCGACGAGCCAGATTTACCCACGTATTAATTATTATGCGAGACGGTGGATTTCAACTCTTACCAGATGACACGGATGAACCGGAGAGGCTAGAATTACTGGAGGCTGCCATCCCGTTCCTCCTCTTCTTTACTGCCGCTCATCCAAGGTGCGCTCCTGGCAGCAGCAGATCCAACCCGGAGGTGCCTCCATGACACTCACGTCCGATGACGGATCCACGGTCGGTCCCGAGTCTTTCTATTTTTCTATGAATGAGCAAATCCAATCCTCTCAATGCGCCCGGTCGCCGAGGAGCCTCAAACTGGAGCAAGAAACGAAAGTGCATCCGATTTTTTTTTAAAACAAGGCTCGAGACACCACACGGGAAGGTCCACCGAATGAAGCTCACATGTCTACAGGTTGTGGATGCAAACGTACGGTGGCCTGCCTCCATGTGCCTCCAGGAGGCTCGCAGTATTTAACACACTCCGCCGCAGAAGCACAGACTCGCCTTCTTAAAGTGAAAGTTGGACTTGGTGCGCATGGAACCAAAACGTAACAACCAGGTTTGACTCGATTCGAAAAAAAGGAAAACCATAAAACCGATTCTAAGCATGGGCGTAAAAAAATATAATTAAGGCACATTGTAAGTAGATTGAATTCAAACGTGATGTCATATTGAGTTCGAATTCGTCTTTGGGGCAAGAGCGCCATCTGGTGTGTCTACTTTCTCATCTCATCGAGGCATAATGACGTCACTGGCGTCAATTCAGTACAGTACCGACTTTCAAGTTGTTGGCAAAAAAGATATATATACAATAACTATAAATGTATGGTAGTTTGTTGTCCGTCGGGCCTAATACAAGCCTATACACTATAGATAAAATGCTGAGTATCGCAAGTGTGTACGGTATTCACTTTAAACCCAATAACCAGCTAATCCCCGACGAAACAGTGTCGTCTGGGCCTCATAAAAACACCCAACCAATCTGAAAAAAATCATAGTGAAATAGCTTTCTGTCTGTTTTATGAGCCTCCTGTAAACAAAAGTTGGGTGAAGAGTGGTAAAGATCACGTGATGTTTCCTTTCAGTTGATCACGTGACAGGGGAATCACTTTTGCATGACCGAAGAACTGCTTTGTTGAACAAACATGGGGTGAGTTTGACTAGATTTAAAAAAAAATAAAATACATCTTCGCATGCTGACATTTGATATTGGCGTATTTAACGTTTGTGCCGACGAAACATTGGCAGAACGTGGATGGAAACAGTGGGTGTCCTGTTACTCCTGTGGGCCGCTCAGGTTCCTGTCCAAACACGCCGATGCTCGTCCTTTTTCTGCCGAAAGTCACTTAATGTCAGCAGCCTCAACGGTGTGGACCCCGGAGTTCCTCTCTTTCTCACTCCTTACCTGGAGAAGGGCGCCATTGACGAAGGTAGATTTGTATTTGTATTTGTATCTTGACACAACTCGACAACGCGACATGTCCTTCCGATCAAACCTGTGTCATTTAGGAATATAAATGTCTAGTCCTATCACTCAAGCTTGTGAAATTTCTCTCAAATTTGAGAATTTTACCCTAAAATATGTGGAATTTTACGAATGTGGAAATTACTGAAATGTGGAAAACTGTTCCCAAGATCTACTGATTGGTCTTAACATTTTGAAGTTGGAATAAATAATCTTGACGTTTTTGTTTTCGTTGATTGTTTGTTCCAGCTAGGAAATTGAGTGTAGTTGGAGAGCTCCCTGGTCAAAACGTGAAGAGTTATGCTGGCTATCTCACTGTCAACAAGGAATACAACAGTAACCTCTTCTTCTGGTTCTTCCCAGCGCTCAGGGTAATCTCAAATCACTCCAAACAGCACCAGTATGTTGATGCTGTAATTAGCTGCTTAGTTTTCTCATATATGTGCGTTATTCATTGAGAAACTAAAGGAGACATATGATGCATTTACCCCTAAAATTTAGGTGCTTAATAACATGTCTGCGGCATGCAATGGTCAAGAATTCTATTACAGACTTACATTAACAATATAGTTGTCCCTCGTTTATCGCAGAGGTTGTTTTCCAAAAGATAAGTGGTTTTTTTTTTGTTTACCATTCTTATACTGTATGTTTTAAGGCTGTAAAACCTCACCATTAACATTTCTCACATTTCTCTCTTGCTTGAACACGCTCAAAGTTCAAACCTTTGCAAGAAAAATAAGTGTACAATATTGTTATTCTGATTGTTGTTGTCGTCATTTACAAAACAAACCTGTTTTAACCCTTTTATTATGTTGTGGGCCTAATTGACCCACTTATAGAATCTGTGGAAGAAAAAAAGGTTTAAATTTAGTATGCTGGCCTCTGTTTTTTTTTCTTCTTCTTAATGCTAAAAAAAAAAAAGCTTTAAAAAATGGGCGAATCCACGAAATATGAACCACAATACAGCGTCCGACCACTGTATAATTCGTGCCATGGTGAAAATGGCACGAAAGTGTGCACAAAGTAGGGGGTGAAATCCTGTTAAAAAAAAAAAAAAACAAAAACAAAAAATAAAACAAAATGCTGCTGAAATCCCATGACATTATTTTGTGTGACTCTTACAGCCGTCCCCTGATGGAAATGCCCCTGTCCTGTTGTGGCTGCAAGGGGGCCCCGGAGGGACATCCATGTTCGGCCTCTTTGTGGAACACGGACCCTATGTGGTTTATAAGAATATGACGGGTAAGCAAAAGACTACCGTGCTGATGACGTTTACATGTTTGATTGAAAACCTCCAAACTCAGACAAATCATTTTAAAATGTTTGTTTTCAAGTGTGAGTAACATTTAAATATTGCTTTTCACACATTATAAATACACTATTATCATATACTTGCGTGGCCAAGAACAGGCTTTGCCAGATACTCGTATTGTAAAGTAACACAAATAGCTTGTGTACTATTTACTTCAAAATTCAATATCATCTTGCGCTAATCTTGGAGCAGTGAAACTAAAGTCCGCACAACTCTAAATGTAAACAGTCTATAATGTCATAGCTGCGGTATCAATACACAAGCTGTCATCAGTGTTACATTGTCGAATATTACAAGTGCACTTGACAGTCTTGTTCAGTGGTCTGACAGTGAGCAGCACGTGATTTTCATCATCAGGATTTCACTATGTGCAATTGAGTGAAATCTCGGACTGGCATGTGCTGGTAACTTGATAAGAAATCGAATTTGAATGAAAATCCAATCAATTTGAAAGCAGAACATCAATTTGAATAGAATCCGATTGAAAATGGAAAAAACATGTTTGCTTATTTTTTTGACCAACCGCGGCACATGCACGAAAGTGTATCTTTAAATTAAATTAACGTTTGTGTCTTTGCAGTGGACCTGAGGGATTACGCCTGGACCTTGAAATATTCTGTGTTATACATTGACAATCCAGTAGGTATTGTGTTTTTAGATCCATGCACTTTATAGAACATTACAAATAGCCTTTTGTTTGTTTTGTGTGTCAGGTCGGAACAGGTTTCAGCTTCACTGACGACGACCGCGGTTTTGCTGAGAATCAGGATGATGTTGGCAGAGATCTGTACAGGTGCAACACTTCCTTCCATTTCTTGCATCACTTTAATACGCTTGCAACTGCAACGTTTCTTATTCTCTTGTTTTCCAAGTGCTTTGGTTCAGTTCTTCCAGCTCTTTCCCGAATACCAGTCCAATGACTTCTATGCCACTGGAGAGGCAAGTCTTTGGCATTTCCTTCGGAAACAAAACATTTGGCTGGCGGTAATAGATGCGATTGTTTGAGCACACTAGCATGTATAGTAGAGTTGTGAGAGTTAGATCTCCTTCGTATAATAATAATAATAAAATTATTTTTAAAAATATATGATAACATTTTGAAATTGTATAGATGAATTTCAACGTTGGCAAACATTGCCTCCAAGATGCGTGCGCATCTTAATGACGTCACTGGTGTGTACATGCGTGCGCATCTTAATGACGTCACTGGTGTGTACAAAGATGAGCATTCTTAATTGCCTCCTCATTCCTCAGTGCACATGTAAGCCAGTGTGGTGGTTGCTGTTGCCGTTTCCGAACGAAGCAGCAGAGGTCGCTGTGGCATGCTGAGGTTGGATTAGACTTCTGCGGAAGGCTTGTTTTCATTGTAGTGAACGTCATTGCGAAGCAAGGGTGAAGAAAAAGATTTCGTATTATGCAACAGGGGGGATTTTCGTTGAGGGCGGAAGCAGAAAAGAGGGAATGGCTTAATGCATGAAGATTTTTTTCACACTAGGGGGTATTTTCGCACATGTAGGTTTTGTTGTAGAGGAGTTTCACTGTATTACGACTCACAAGCGTGTGTTTTCTGCCTCCAAGATGCGCACGCAGCCAGACTTAATGTATGCATATGACACTGATCTATTGGACACAAGAAGGCGTTCTCCAAAATAAATAGTTCTCTCATCCAGTTAGAGTTCAAATTAACTCCTAACATTAAGTTAAATGATATCTAGGAGAGGTAGATGAGCGTAAAGCTCGCAGTAGATGTCTGCCCCACCCCGCTACACTTTAGGGAGAAAAAAAAGGCCTCAAGCCATTGTGAGGAAATGGACTAGTTTTATTGTTGGATTAACATGCACCGCCGCAATGTCTGTCGTTAAACAATAAAATCCATCACGTGTTCTCCGTGTGACTCCGCAGTCCTACGCAGGGAAGTACGTTCCTGCCATCTCTTATTACATCCATAAAAACAACCCCACTGCCAAGGTGAAAATCAACTTCAAGGGCATGGCCATCGGCGACGGCCTATGTGACCCCGAAATGGTCGGTATCCACCGACACGAGTGTCACACGTCATCCGCAGGAAATAATGAAAGATTCTCAAATCTCCCAGATGCTGGGTGGCTACGGTGAGTTTTTGTACCAAACAGGCATGATCGATGAAGTTCAGAAACAGTTCGTCAACAAGCAGACCGACCTGGGCGTGGCGCTCATCCAGCAGCGGAAGTGGGTGGAGGCTTTTAAGGTACACTACAATATCATTTTCAACATTATCACTGAGCGGTGTGGACATATTTCATTCGTTAAACCTGCACATGCAATCAAAGTCTAAAAAATCTTTTGAGGTTTGCATATAGAATATGGATGATCCAAATGTCATGTTTTTGCAGAAGTTCAATTTCATAAGTGAATCTTACATGGATTCAATACACGTTGAAATATTTCACGATTACATATTTTCATTATTTTGTTTACTACTTGAAAGAAAATCTTCTTCTTCTCCTTTCGGCACGTCCCTATTCAGGGGTCGCCACAGCGAGTCAGTAATTTCCATCCGCCCCTGTAAACCGTCCTACCAACTCACATGGTTGTCTTGGCAAAAGTTTTACGCCGGATGCCATTCCTGACGCAACCCTCCCCATTTCTCCGGGCTTGGGACCGGCACTGGGGAACAGTGCACCCCCAGGGGAGGGCACTGCCCCCCAGCGGCTGGGTTACTACTTGAAAGAAAATCAAATTCACTATTTCAAAAAAATTGATTACTGTATTACTTAAAAAAATAAGTTACTTTTGAGAATATATTTTAGGTAGGATATGGCATTCTGGAACATATTCCAGAATTTGTATGAGCGCCACCTTTTGAATGGAACTACTGAAATGAAGTTTTCCACAATATGCTAATGAATTGTGCTGTATTTGCATTCCTCTTTCTGTTCTGTCCTGTCAGGTTTTCGACAGCTTGCTGAATGGCGACCTGGCACAGTACCCTTCCTTCTTCCAGAATGCAACAGGCTGCACCAACTACTACAACTACATGTTATGTCGGGTACTCAGAAATACTACCTTAAAACTCCGTTTACACGTGTCACATTTAGGGCTGAATGCAATTGTGTGAGGCATCCACGTTTACACTCGACTCAAAACAAGAACTGTAGTCATTTCCCATTATCGAAAGAGTAACATAAGTTGTCTTTATAAAGGTAGATTTTTATTTTTAGATACACCTCAGTTGTTCCTAATGAAGCATCCCCTGTATTTCCATCTACATGTTTTACATCAGGAACCTGAAGACCAGGAATACTTTTCCACGTTTGTGACGCTCCCAGAGGTGCGGCGTGCCATCCACGTGGGCAACTTGGAATTCCACGACGGCTCGCAGGTGGAGAAGCACCTGATGCAGGACGTGATGAAGAGCATCAAGCCCTGGCTGGGTGTGCTCATGGACCACTACAAAGTGAGGCTTTTAAACGGAATAACCATTTAGGACATGGAATAGTGTAGCCAAAAATGTGTGCTTAGGAGCGGATGTCATAGTTTAAAAAAAAAAAAACAAATGAAATAACTAAAACAAAAATTGACACATTTTCGCTCATGAAATTAAATAGAAACGAAGATGCTTTTAAAACAATAAAAAGAAACAAAATTACATTTTAAGTTGACAAAACGAAATAAAATGAACTATAATTAGAGCGAAAATGTCCTTTGTTTTCATCGTATGCAGGTAATACATGAATCTTGGAGGTTGATTTTTAAATGTGATTTTAAACGTATTTATTTCATTATTCCCGCACGATCATTAGCCATAAGATGGAAGGTTGAAAACCCGTTTGGTCCTTTCACTGTTTGTTGCGTAGAAGCGTTGTTATCTAGCGGCAGCCAATGCAAAAAAGCTCCATCAGATAATGCTGGTCCAGGGCGACAGCAGTGCTTGTGGCTGAAATTCCAAAATTTAAAAAGCAAAAGTCGAAAACGAAATTAAAATGAACATACTAAAGCAATTAACCCTGCTCAAGAGCCACATTTGTTTTTTGGAAATGGACAAATGGGCCAAGTCACTCATGAATGAGGTAAAAAAAAAAAAACAAAACATCTGTATATAAAATTACGTATTTCAATGTACGATATGGAAAGTAACACACAAAAAAAATCTTACAGGAGTCTTGATAATGTAAATGCTTTGTGGGCCTGATTTAAGAACCTAGCGTGGCCTATTTGGCCCTTCCCCGACTAAAAGACTCTCTGTCCTCCTCACACGCAGGTGTTGATCTACAGCGGTCAGTTGGACGTGATCGTGGCGGCTCCTTTGACCGAGCGGTTCTTGCCCACCGTCAACTGGACCGGAGCGGCCGACTACAAGACGGCGCCGCGCTTTCCCTGGAAGCTTCAGCCTGACGACACGGAGGTGGCCGGTTACGTTAGACAAGTGGGAGAGTTCTACCAGGTGAGCTCTTGACCCACTCCCACCAGTGTGCTAGTGTCAAATGTGACTTCTTATCATGCAGGTCATTATCAGAGGAGGTGGACATATTTTGCCTTACGACCAGCCAGCAAGGTCTTTTGATATGATTGACCGGTTTCTGTCGACACGAGGCTGGATATGACGCATTCACCCGATCGAACTGCAGAGTTGAGTGGATGCAAATCAGGTTCTTATTCAAATTGCTGCTCATCACAACATTGCATTTGAACACGGCATTCTGTTTTTATGCTCTCATTGCCCAATCGTGCCGTCTTCAATGGAATTGGACACTCTCAGTGTTTTTATGAAATCTTATTGATTATTTTAAATGAAGTTGTTCAAAATGCCTTTTGACTTTTTTGTTTTAATCATTGATAGTCAGTTTGGTATACAGGTATAAACAATATAATATAATATATATATATAAGAATAATAGTAGTAAATGTAATGTTTTTTTCATTACCTCCAAAAACTGAATGTTTTTAACTTGAATTGCCATGAAATAAAAGACACTTAAAAAAAAAAAACAAGTCTCTCATAAGTATGATGTAATATCTCGGCAAGGTTTTGTATATAATCTGACAAACTGTTAAGTGTTGTCTTGACAAATACATTTTAGTTACCATAGTAGCCACCAGGGGGCAGTGTGCACAAATAATTTTTCATCATTTCACAAATAAGATGATCCAGTCCTCTATATTATGAATCATCACGGTTTGGAATTGGCATTTGACAAAATTGCCTTGAAACATTGGCTGATTAGGTGTTATTTGAAATACAGTTTTTGTAAAAATGAAAGTCAAACATCAAAGATAATTGATATTTAGGCCCGTTCTTTGTTTCTAATTTTGCACAATTAGTTATGTCAGAAAAACGAATCAAGTTAATGAAGGGAGACCACAATTCTTAAAAAAAAAAAAAAAAGATTGAATTGTTTCGACTATTAATGAGCACTTATGTCGCCAAGACTTTGTCTTGCACTTTTCCGCTTTCCACATCCAGTTATGAAATCAACTCAAGCAAGTCGTTTGGCTGCATGTTGCAGAGCAAGTGCTTTATTTTCAGAATGTAACTGCAGCAATAATGTTGAACATCTGTACAAATGGCCCAAACAAGCCGACATTGGGGACACAGAAAATGTACAAAGTTATGCAGGCGAGGGTCAGGGTCAGTTCATGACATATAAACAACGTAAGCGCTGAAATGAGCCTCGATGTATGACAAAAGGCAACAAGTGCTGTATGCAAACATTATTTACACACATGTGCCACACATGTATTCCCTTCAAAAAGAAAGGTAGTTGCATTACATGTACATGATTATAGAAATCCATAGTCTTATGTACAATATTTATAGTTTCGCACTTAAAATTATACAAGTATTAAGAATCATTCTTGTACACAAGAGAAGGACTCAACTTTTTTTTTTTTGCATATAAAGCAACACATAGCTTCTTTTTTTCTCCTAAATGTTATCAGAGTGCAGGGGTGGGGAACCTACGTCCCGTGGGCCACATTTGGCCCGTGAGAGGATTTGATACCATGCAAAACCAAATAAAATCTAACGTAATTGTTTCTTTCAAAATAAAGGTCCACAAATGCTCGCAATGTATAAGAATGAACACTTGTATCGCATGTTTTTAGTATTTGCCCTGAGGACTGAAACTCGAGAGGTTCCCCACCCATCGTGACATCTTCCTTGTGATTCCAGTTGAAACATCAACATACAGGGGCTTGATTTGGAATGGTCTCATCCAGGGATTCTCAAAATGTTTGTGTCCAGGGACCCCTGACAGGAAATAAATGTTCCAAGGAGCCTCTCATATAGTCTTTGCAGGAACAAAGATGTATTGACGGGAAGAATATAGTTTTTTATGCGATAAATTCCTAATGGGATGACATTAAAGTCAAAGTTCAACGAAGACAAAGTTATATTTTTAACAATTGAATTTCATAACGACACGTTTATTCCTGACATGTTGCACCGTGTCAGGGGGCCACGTCGCGGGTGCGGTTTCCTTCAGGGGGTCATTATGACTGTGGACCCAAATCACATGTATGGTTGCCTCATATTACATCTACACAACAAATTGTTCAATAATTAATTCTCAAGTCAGAGGCCGGTAAGAACTGTTTGTTCTAATATTATTACACTTATTTTAACCCTTTCAGCGGTTACTACAGTGGACAGCTTACCATGTTATCAGGTTACAGGGTGCATGAAAGGGTTAAAAGGGGGATTGGGAATGAAAAGAATGCTTGCAATAGCTCCACATTTGTAAACGTGAAGACAATTTGCAATTTCGCTCATTATTTTCCGGACCCCCAAACTGCAACTTCTGGGCCACGGCCAGTTTGAGAACCACTGGTGGAATCATCATCAAGAATTGGGAAATTCAAAGGTGAAATAAAGCCCTTCTCTCAGGAAAAATAAACCAAAACTTCCCTACTGCATACATAGAAAAAAAACCTCCTGCAAAATGTTAAGACGTGAGGTGAGATAGTAACAGGAATTTTGCAAATAAATGTCCTTCAATGGATTAGAAAGCCAAAGATGTTTCTCGCTGGTGTATTTAAAAAAAGGGGAAGGGGTCACTGAGCATGACTTGGTTTCATATGGCTATTCTACCCTCTGGCACTGCAGAGGACAAAGTGCATAGACAGCTCTGCTTGACTGTACTGTACAACACAGTGCTTTAAGAGAGCTCACGTCGACATTCCTGGTCACAAAGTGGAAGAAAAGTTCCCGTTTCCTCTGAAGGGGGGCGCGTACAGTATGTCGCCATTGAGTTAAAGGCAAGAAAAAGGCCTGAGAAAGATGAAGGAAGATCCTGTTATGAATCACGAAGAAGAAATTCAAGACAAACGCCAATAAGAGGCAAAAACTATCAATAGCGTCATGAGGCTGAAATAGATATGAGTGAAGATGAAGAAAATAAGCGAAGTACATTGGGACATTTGGGAAATCATTGGCATCAACTGCTCCTCTTTCAGAAATACAAAATCAAACCAGTTATGCATGACAGAGGTGCTCCCTTACGCGGACATGCCCTTTATTTTCCATATGCGGATTTCATCCGGCCTTCTATGCCAAGTGTAAGAATGAATACAACCTCAGAGGAGTAGGAGCATATTTCAAAAAAAAAATTAGAAAAAGTGCTCATTATTTGTAATAATACATATTAGTTTGATCGTTGCATCATATTTTGTCATAAATTTCTCATGGCCCTCAAAAGGACTTTGTAAAAACTGTTTGGAAAACCTTTCCCCACCCTCGAGTTAAAGCTTCGGGTGGTCCCGGAGAAGATTGTTGTGACTCTCAAGCTGCCTCGCCGCCATCACAGTGTTTTAAAACAGTTTGCGGACATTTTTTTTTTTTAACATGATCCACAGAGTGCTGTATTGCTTATCCCTTGAGCACTATGCTATTACCATCACAATGTTGATATGATTCTTTAAGACTGGCAGTAATGAGGTTAACCGTCTCAAAGGGAAGGAAAGGATGATAAGCTACAGCCCATAAAGATGATTTATTTAGTACCGTCGCATGATCCAGATTTAGATTTAGATTCAGAAGTACAACTGCACAATGACAGACGTGTTTGCCTATTGACAGCAGTGGATTTGAAACAATAGATTTTACCCAAAATATGGCATTCACCTTTCAGGAATAACAGCTATTCTACGTATAGTAGAATGCATCCTGCTATCTTTGCTTTTGTCTTATAGTGTCATTGCGACGGATTTTGTGTTGGGGTTTATAGACAATTCTATCCCCTTGTCCCGATATAGACATATTCTACATAAAATGGCTGGACCGCCTCAACGTTAAATAACATGCAGTGGTGCCTTGACTTACAAGTTCACGGAAATGCCATCAATCGACTCAAACCCTTCTTTGTGTGTTTTCTAGTGTACGCTAGCCACCAGGGGGAGGTATAAGACAGAGAAACAGACAAAGACAGTGACTCAGAAAGCTGCATTATTAGCGTTTGCGCTCGGAGGATAAAGAATATACGCCCATGAGTATTGTTACATCGTCTACACGTGTTGCTGCACTGTTAGTGTAAGTGTTAATATCTGTTGCTTGAAGGATTAGGATGGTTGCTACTGGTGAGCCCGTCTATGGCATCTTGCATCGTGTGTTTGCATTAACATAGCAGACTTTCTTATGTGGTTGGTTTAAATACACCAAATGTAATTTTATTAATTTTAAGTTCAGTTTGACGGTAAACCTGGACTCAGAGTGGCAAGAAACAGCTTGAAGCCTCATTTTTGCAAGAATTGTTTACTATCTGCCATCGTGTTGCGTGCTGTGAAGTGAGTGGAGTTCGCTGTGGCCGTCTCACACAAATTTTTGCTTATGAATAAAAGCAAAAAAAAAAAAAATCAGCTAAGCGACATCCGGGAAAAAAATCGGCAGTTGTGTCACTCCTAAACCAAGGCACCATTAGGCAAATCTATCATCCAATCACATATTGGCGGTTTTCATATCCACTGTGGTGGTGTCTACAGGCAAATCAAAGAATGTCATTTCCGAAATACTTCTGGACCTAGAGGTACTTAACAAACCATCCGAAGCTTTTCCCAGGAGGATTTCGTAGCCTTTTGTACAAAAAAAAAAAAAAAAAAAGTGTAAAATTCCAATTCAAACAAACAAGAGGTCAATTCTGGAACGAATTGTCTTCTATGTTATAGGTTCCACTATAAAATGAGTTTCATTCTAGTTTCCTACTAAATACTTGTGAGAACATGTTAGGTACCCACATAGAAAACGATTAACTCATGACCCAGACCATCGGTCAAAAAGAGAAACTTTAAGAGATGAAAGCCTCCAGTCTCTTCCCTCTTTTTCCAGGAACGCTTTGGTCCATTTTGTACCGCTACAATTGGGGGGGATACCAACGCTACCAGCATAACTCAAAAGCAAATGTAATTAAAAATAAAATAAAATAGGCAACATACCATCAAACGTACACATTATAGGGTCTATAAAAATACATATCATGGCTACTGTAAAAAGAACAGCCTTGGAGGCCTTTGAGGTTTTTCTTGATTTTTTTTTTTTTTAGGGGGGGGAGCTGTAGAGCCTCAGAAAGCAGAGGTGTGTGGGAGTGGGCACGGGGGGTTACCACCAGGGATGTACAGTCTTTCTGCTTCCCTAGTGGATGGAGTTGATGTCTGTTCGGCTGTTGGCTTGTCCGTGCACACTGCTGCCCCCTACGGTCGTGGTGGACGTGGTGATGGTGTTGTGCTGAATGACCTGCTGCTGCGTGCAAGTTGGAGATGGACTTCCTGCCGGACTGCTATCTGGACCTGAGGACACATCGCTGGGATGGTAAATGACCTTCAGATTACGGGCCGACCGATTAATAACTCTTTTAAAATCGTCAAAAATCTGCTTGTTTTTTTTTTGTTTGTTTTTTTTTGTTTTTGCTGATTTTTCTTTTTGTTTTACACAGACAAAGATAATGATATTCAAGCATTCATCCACCCCCCAAAAATAGCCAGATTTTTCTCTCTGTCGTAAAGTTAACGAAATACTGGACAAAATAATATAAAACAGTCAAATGTAACTCAGATATTTATGATAAAATGTGCTTTTTTTGTTTTCTCCTCCCTTTCCACTGCACGCTGCCAGTAAGCCACACAAACCTCGTTAGCTAGTCTGCTCACCTGGGTGCACAGGGGCGTCGAAGCAGCAATTCGCCATTATTCACGACTCAAGCTCACGCTTTCTCAGCTTGTTCTTCTACTCTCATGCAAGACTCGCTCGGACTTTCTTGAGCCCTCTTTGGATTTTTGTTTTTGACTAGAATATTTTCTTCACAACTGGTTAGCATATCGGCCTCACGGTGCAGAGGTGCAGGGTTCGATTCCGGCTCCAGCCTTCCTGTGTGGAGTTTGCATGTTCTCCCCGGGCCTGCGTGGGTTTTCTCCGGGTACTCCGAAGACAGCTGGGCTCCAGCACACCCCACGACCCTCATGAGGATAAGCGGTTTCGAAAATTGAGGGCCAGAGCTGGAAATTGAACCGTGCATGTCTGCACTGTGAGGCAGACACGCTAACCAGTCGACAACCGGGGACCCCATGGAAATAACACTTTTGCATAATTTATTAGAGAATGGGCAATTCCAAAAATCAATAAAACTTCTGCTTTAACGACAGTGCAGTGTTTTGTCTCCTTGATGTGGCCCCAGTGGATTGTGTAACTTTTATTGTCCAGGCACCGGAACTTTCTCGCTATTCTCATTTTTATTTATTTATTTATTTATTTTTTTAGTCTCACCACTCAAAAAGCAATGACGGAAGAAATGCTTTTTTTGCAAGTGTAAATGCCATCGCGAGCTGGACCACATGCTCTCATGGGACATATTTTACATGTCACCATAGAACGTAGGTTGCACATACACACCTCTAGCCAAAGAAAGATAGATTTTAAACAACATAAAATCACCACAAATGCCTCCCCGGCCTAAAATAACCCATGAATAGATAACACATGCCAGCTGAATTATGATCACATTTAAGTGGACATGTGTGGACAACGTAAGACTCATTGATGAACGTCTCGCCCAGTCTGGGAGGAGGTTCTTTTCTTTACAAAAGAAACATTCAGTCAGGACGGATATGAGCCTGGTTTTCCTCGCTGGAACCACACAGGGGAGGCTCGCTCTCCTAATTATGTCTCGTATCGCTATCAAAGGGAGCGGTTCTGATGTCACACTGGGAAACAAAATGCAGCTCATGACGTATTTGTCACGTCGGGTTTCAGAGGTGCGATTTTTTTTTTTCTTTTTGTTTCTGACAAAATAAAACATCTCCACAGCAGTGCTATCAACACTGTCGGGCCAAGTGTGCGTTTGCTGCGAGTTTGTGTGTGTTCGTGTTTGAGTGACTCACTGAGGTAACCTTGGGACTCTTTTTGCATAGTGGTGATGGGGCAGTCCTTGTGTGTTAGGAGGAGCTGCTTGAGCTGAGTCACTTCATTCTTTAGCATTGTCACTTCATTCTGTAATTAAAAAAAATACACAGAATCATAATTTCAGCTGCATTGGGTCTGCAGAAAAGTCAATGGACAGACCGTGTATAATGACGATATTCAAGGATTTTAATGTTCCATGTAAAATTCCAAGAACGACTTTGAAAGTGAAATAACACATGTTGCTTTAGGTTCATATTTATACCTGAAGCTGCATGTTGGTCTGCGTAAGTTCTTCTGCTTTCTTCTCTAACGACATCACCCACACTTTCCTCTTTTGTCTGCATCGCGTCGCCGCCGCTCGATTTCGTTCCAGAAACTTCCGCCGCCGTTCGTCCGGATCTTCGTCCACAACTCGCCTGCGCCGGCCGCCGCTCGGGGGCGGGGAATGAAGTGTCTGCGTTGGCTGCATATGTTGGGTGGCAGGAGACATCTGAAACACGGAGGGGAGGGGGAGGGGGTGTATTAATCATAACCCAGCTCTCTAATGAGACAGTTTACGTCTGCCAACTTGCAACCACAGACGCGATCTTTGTGACACACCTGGAAAACATCCAGACACCTGACTGCAGCAGCCACCCTGCTGCTCTCCAAACACAAACAAGCGTCCATACATTAGCCCCCAAAGCTATTTCAAGTGTGCCAACTGCCCTCAAAACAACATCTGGTTCAACGAGTGTGTGACTGGGCTGATTCACCGAGCTGCCTACCGAGAGGTGTCAGGCACTTTTCCACCACCCACTTCCACTCAGACTAACAGCGGCAGACGCAAGTGCGTGGACGGACAGAGCATGACATATACTTGGCAAGGTCAACTGTTTGCAGCTTCGACCATTACCGTTTCTTGATGAGAAGCATGGAAAGCACAAGCGGCTTTAATGCATGCCAAGCATACATCAAAAGTGTTGTTTTAATGCATAAATGGAGCATTTGGAGCTTCGGTGACTCGTACCATTTGATGTTGTGACCGTCTATCATCCAACAATGGAAGGACGCAGTGACCTAATTGAAGTTATGATGAATGTCATGAGCCATACATGCGTACTGCAAGCACGTGTATTTGCGGTCGGAAGTTTGCCACGGTTCGCTCTTTGCAAACGGGTGTGGAACAAAGTTTCCACAGAACAAAACTACAATCATTAACATTCATTGACTGACCTCTTCCCTGCAGCTGACTATGCTAAAAGGATAAGAATAAGACAAGCAGTTCGATGACAGTAAGGTTGCAACAATTACACATTAAAAAAAAAAAAAAAGGCCAAAGTGTAAACAGAAGCGAAAAATATATACAGTAGATCCCACCTGTCTATGTGTGGAGTTTGGTTGCTCATGTGAAATCATGTATGCAATAAACGTGTCACAGCAGAGTGAAAACGGAATTTGTCTTCAAGGATTAAATTGCTTTCAGAATATGAGAAATTCATATTCTATTCTATTCTAGTAAAACAAAACAATTAAAAATGCTGTTCTTGGAAATGTAATGTTATGAGAATAAATGCAAAATTAAAAGCATTGGCACATCTTAATAAATGACATATTTTTTAGGGCTGGGTGGAATGCTTGAAAAGTGTATCACAACATAAATATATCATCAGTATTCAGTACGCAAAATGACCAGGTTGGGGGTTTCCTCCTGATTTTTCTTTTTAATCCGTATTGTATTGAGTTGCTATTGATGTTGATCAGGTGGTTATCGCGATAGGAGAGGAAAGTACCTGCTATCTAGGTACAGTACAGACCAAGGTTATTGTAGTAAAAGAAAATGAAATAAGTATTCATTCATTCATTCATTTTCTGATCCGCTTTATCCTCACAAGGGTCGCGGGGGTTGCTGGAGCCTATCCCAGCTGGAGACACCCTGAACCGGTTGCCAACACACAGAGACGAACAACCATCCACGCTCCCACTCACACCTAGGGACAATTTTGACTGTTTAATTAGCCTCCCATGCATGTTTTTGGAATGTGGGAGGAAACCGGAGTACCCGGAGAAAACCCACAGAACATGCAAACTCTACACAGGAAGGCCGGAGCCAGGATCAAACCCACGACCTCTGCACTGTGAGGTCGACGCGCTAACCACTGGACCACCGGAATTGTAATTTACTTTACTTTATTACACAACACTTATTGTGACCTTTTTTATCTTGCACTCAACAAATACTCTCTATATATAAAAAACTAACATTAATACCAAAACTAAGAAAAACTAAAGGAAGAAGTTTCAAAAATGATAAAAACAACAAAATATTTCAAACAAATTAAAACTAACTGGATTAAAAAAAGTCAAAATGAAATCAAAACTAACTAATGAAAAATGTAAAATTATTATAACTCTGGCACAAGAGAAAATGTGGCGCTTTAAGCGCTCGATACAATACTACTCCAATGCAGTAGGTGGTAGTGCACATTCAAAGACGGCTGTACCAAACTGAAGTATGAGAATGTCTTACCTGCGAAGCAGAATGCATCTGAGGGTGTGGCGAGGTCTGGTGTGGGTGCCCGGGATGCAGGTGGGCATTGTGGGAGTTATGATGTGGATTGTGTCCCTGCGGGTGATGGTGGCCGCCCTGGCCATGGCCCTGGCTGTGGTGGTGATGGCCGTGGTGCTGGTACGTGTGGGGAGGGGCTTGGAGATGCTGGTGCGGGTGTGAGTGCGAGTGCATGTGATGGTGGTTGCCTTGCTCTTGCCGTGACGACATCATCTCCATCATGTGACCCATGGAGTTCATGTTTCCGTTGGCGAGGGCGCCGGGGTGGTGTGAAAGTGCAGCTTTCAGCCTCTGAGTGCAAAGAAGGACCACAAAGTTGATGGAACAGATTTTCAGTAGAGATCCGCATAAAAAGCAATTCGTCCATAATTTGGTCACTGTGGAATTGACTGCAAATTAATCGCGTCTTGAAACCATTCATGCAAAATGGAGTGTAGTACTTGGCTGAAAGCAAAGGGGGCACTGTTGAGTTAACCCATGCAACTTCATAGTCAGAAGAAGAACAACATGATGTCAGATACAGCACTTCAAAACATTCAGAGATTCATTGCACCGTTCAATGCCGTGGGAATAACTTATTTTTGAACGTTTCAACCTACATTTTCCTCACCTCTTCGAACCCGTTGTAACCTGTAGAAAGTGAAACTTAACTTCAATATATGTACATGTAAGATTTACCCATCATTGCTGTTGTAGTCGACATTTATCATCAAGTAAAAAGTGTGAATTAAAGAAAACGACCCTATTTTGTCATCAGGAGTATTACCTCTCAAATAAATCATCTCAATGCTTTTAATGTAATTGAAAAGAACATTAATCAACATTTAATGTTGTTTACCACTGTTTACCATATCTTAAAGTCTTATTTGTCATGTCATTCTCCACTCGATCTCTACTGCTCCTTCCTTACTGTTTTCGGTTCCATACATTAGGCATCACAGTGAAAAAGATTGAAACCTTTGGTAGTTTTGATCAAAAGCCGTTTGTTTTCCTCTCGCCTTTTCTTGGCCACACCATTGGGATGAGTCACATAGCACCAACAAGTTCGTTTCGCCACCCTGCTCCTGAATCAAGTCTGCAGTTGCACAGCAAGAAGGTGGAATAGTCCATTGCATAAGAAAGGCGCATTTAAAACAGTCATGATAGATTAAGCATTCTGATGTTTTTAAGTTTGTGTATTACAAGTAAGACTCAAACAACAATAATTGCGAAATCAAAGAAAACGTCCTTCATGTGTTTTTATTTTTTGGGGGGATGTTTGAGGGCCTCTGGAAATCATGTGGCTTCAGGCGATTGCCCGTGTTTGCCTAAAGGTAAGCACGCCTGAAGGAAAGTAAATAGCGTTAGCATACAGGCTAGTCAAGTAATGCAAGCATTTCAGGATCTGTATGATTTTCACTGTCTTTATGTTTGCTGAGCTAAGTGGTATTAACATGCTTACTTTCTTTTTCTCAACAAGCTGCAGCCCACTTTAGCTCCTTCTTTTTTAGTGTCACGGAGCGTTTCATGTCAAGAGGTTAAGCTGGGCCTGGACTCAACAATGACATTTGAAAATATTGAAGAGAAAAAAATCTTCAACAGTCCATACACGGCAACTCGTGCAGCCTAAAAAAAAAATAAATGGATATCCAAATGATTTGTTGATAATTTTCCTCATCGTCATCAAGGATTTTGTCTTTCGCCCATCCCCACGTTCCCCAAAAGTAAATCATCAAGTCTTAAAGGAACTGATATGTTTTATCTTGCTGAATACTAACAGTTATGATGGCTTCATGCACTGACTAGATAAACTGATGAATAGCTCCATAAATCCATATGTCTGGGGAACAAATCAAAGCACTTAGTCTGTCCTCTGTCTCCCCTTCAGTCCTGTCATTCCCCCTTTTTACATTCCCTGATTGGCCATTCCACATCTTGCCTCTTCATATTCTTAATAACCTCCCACTCTTTGTGTGTGTGTGTGTGTGTGTGTGTGTGTGTGTGTGTGTGTGTGTGTGTGTGTGTGTGTTTATGAGATGAGCTCTCTGGCAAGGTGTGCGAGTTTCAGACTGTTGACCGAGCAGGAGGCTTGTTGCCTTAAGCGTGTGGACTACTTAGCCGTGACAGACGTTGCGGTTCTTCTCTCTTCATTCTTTAGGTGTTCTTATGTTGTTTGTGTTTACCCGCTTCACTTTCCCTCGAGAGGTTATTTTTTTTCTGGGCATGGCATGAAGACAAGATAATCCACAAACATACAAGTGGCCAGTCTGCCACAAGGGTTCAAATGTCGACATCATCCAAAAAAAAAAAAAAAAAAAAAGAAAAATGTCCGCCTCTCATTCATGACATTCACATAAGCGGTGTTCACAAGTAACAGGTCAGAGCTGTTTAGTCTAATGTGTTGCATAAATGCATTTACATTTGGTTTGATTTATGGTTTTGGAAATAAAAGTGAGCAAAGGAAAGCCTTCGACACAAGGCTACTGCCGTGGATCCCACACTTTTCATTTCGGAACTCCCTTCCCCCTTCCTCCCAGCTGCTGTCAGTAAGTCCATGGAGCGTCCAGGGCTCCATATCTTTTAACAACCTCTACATTCACGATTCCCACAGGGAACGTCATCCAGCTGGTCTGGATCACAATACTTAGACACGACCGGAGCACTCCATCAGCTCGCCCTCTCCTCTCTCACACCATCCATGAATGGAAAGCTTTTTACCAGACGACAAAAACAAGTCCTCTACTACCGTCCATTCTTTTCGGACCTTGATTTGGAGCTGCATTCCCGCAATCCCCAAATATATGTTCGTATCTATTCTAGAGAAACCGGAATTATGAAATGATGACCTTGTCAAGCCTGTTTTAGGTGAGCATGGTCTCAGTTTGCCATACGAGACATGCCTGAAATAGTGACACAGACCTCACATTGTTTTGTTTTGTTTTTTTTGTTTTTTTTCTTTTGCTATTTCGCTTCCATCTAAGTCTGATCCTAAAATTCAGCCGCTGGTAGCCGCTTTGACCGCAGCCTGAACAGGTCAACGCTCACAGGAGGAGGAACAACTCCGCCGTGTTGTGACCACCGGGGTTAAAATACCACAGAGGCCATGCTAACACACAGCATGCAGCCTCAGGCCTGCAGCTGTCCTGCCATCCGCATATTCAACGAGAACAGTTTGTTGTAACACATGGAGAGGAATGGTGGGATAACAAGACTCAGGACTCAAAACAACGTCAAATCAATCGATCATGCAGCCAAGACAGAAAATGGATTATAGCAGGCTTACAGACATCCATCATGTTCCTCGGTGTCGACGGAGACATCGCCCGCCTATCACGGGATGAATTCTGAGGGCGACAGCCCTCACACAACACATTCACTTCACCCTTCAACTTGTCACTCAGCACCCGGGAGGTGAGCCCCGCCTCTCTTGTTTTAGAGGAAAACCAATCAGACCCAACTGCAAGCCTCTGAGTCACGTCAAGTTATCACAAGGAAAAACATAAAATGGCTATCATGCACATGGGGGGGGGGG